TACAAACTGGATAGAGTGTTACTGTGTTCAAACTAGATAGAGTGTTTCTATGTTGAAACTGGATAGAGTGTTCCTGTGTTCATACTAGATAGAGTGTTACTATGTTGAAACTGGATAGAGTGTTACTGTGTTGAAACTGATAGTGTTACTGAGTACAAACTGGATAGTGTCACTGTGTTCAAACCGGAGAGAGTGTTACTGTGGTTACACTGGAATGAGTGAACAATTCTTTGTGAAATTGATCGTGTGAACTTTTGCCGGAACTACTTTCCGGGGTTCCCCAATTATCGATCAGTGTTTACAATCAACTCGTTTTTCTATTTTCTTTTTGATCCCTGCATTAACAGGAATATAATTAATTTAGTATTTTTGACTTGTCTTGTAACATCTGATCTGACTTAAAAATAAATAAATGCTTTGGTTTTGTTTAATGTCCTCTTCGGTGGCGTGTGCACATCCAAGATGGCGGCACTTCCGGTTCCGGTGGTGTGTGCCCATCCAAGATGGTGGCACTTCCGGGTTCCGGTGGCATGCGCATCAAAGGTGGTGGCACGTCCGGTTCCGAGGGGCCATCTTCCCATCCAAGATGGCGGCACAGCCCCTCCAAGATGGGGGTGGCAGGGGAGGAGGAGAGGGAGGGAGGGAGGGAGGAGTGAAGGGAGTCGGGTTCTTTGTTTTTGGTTTGGTGGGTGTTTGGGTGGTGATGGTGAAGAGGGTAGTCAAAGCAAGAATGAAAGCGTTCTTTCGGGAAAGATGGGTGGCCCTGAAAAGGGCTGTTTTGGAGAAGAAGAAGATTACTTCTTCAACCACATTACTGCAGTGGTGCAAAGGCACGGATGGATCGTTATCTGTCTCCTGACAGGACACCTACTTGTGTGGCTTAAACGCCTCACGTAAGTGTCCTTCAGGACGGTGTTGGAATGTTCCATCACATGCCTTCGTCCCATGCGCATACACAGGCAGGCAGCCATGGCAGAGGCTACATTGCCATGGAGGAAGCAATGGCAATGCTGGTGATGGTACTGTCTTCGTAGAAAAAGTTTCACCGGCACTCTTTGCACAGTGGCACCCTTTCTTCAATCAAAACTATCTCCATGTCTCAATTCTCTTCGTTGTTTTGCATGATGATTGATTGCAGTGTGAGTGGTTTGGCTCTTGATTTATAGAAGAGGCACTGAAACCCTGCTTCTTGATTGGTCTAAAAAACGTAGCGCCCCGATTCGTTCGTTCCGGTGCCTGGCCTGCACCTCGGTTTTCCAAAACGGACCAACCCTTGTGTTTCTTTTCCATAGGAAATGGATTTTACCATGGGAGAGAAAGCACAACCCCAGTTCGACCAATCAGAGGCCAGCACAGACCGAGCGCGACCTCTGATTGGTCCACAACCCAAGCCTCTGATTGGTCAGATTTCGATCCTCTTTTTTTTGGTAGTCATATTTTTGGGTAGACGGTCATCTGAATTCTAAAGGTGGACTGTCATGGGCAGACATGGACGTGATGTGGGAATGCCTACGTGATGTACTTTGTGTCTCCATGCAAATGTGATGTCACTCATGACTACAAATAGATGTTTATAAATATTATTATGATGTCGTCACTCGTTCATCCACACCGAGGTGTTGGCACACGTGTATGCCTACATGCATACTACCATTCGTGTCTCCATGCAAACGTGTCTCTATGCAAGCATAGTGTCACAGGTGTCATCATGCAAAACATGGTGTCATGCGTGTCTTCAAACAGACGTTTATAAATATTTTTATTTAGATGGATAAGGATATAGAGAGAGAGAGATCAATAGACATGCATGTCCAATCTTATTGACAAGACAAGGATTGTCGAAGTGGAAATTGCTGCCATCTGGGTGCCCTGTGTGGCACAACTTGTGGCCAACAAAGAAAAGCTTGTTGGAAACAGGAAGCGGAAAAAGACTGAACCATCAACAACAGCAGCAGTAACAGCAACAGCAGCAGACATAGAGGAACGGGAACAGGAACAGGGAAACGGGAAACATCCTCCTAGGCAGCCGGCCATGCTACACCATTCGCGTTGCTCTGATTCACATTTTCCTCAGAGATAGTGTAGCTGTAGCTTCTTCTTGTGTCTCACAAGGCCAGTCAGCTTGAGGTAGACGCAGTGTGGGGACCACTTGTGGTGTTCCACCCAAGGATTGTCGTGGGATGCCCATCTTCTCAGCCGCATGCCGCATTGGAAACAGTACACACCATCGGCACTCTGCGTGTACACGAAGCCCGCATGGGCCATCTCTTCAGCGGTCTGGTTCATTTGCGTCAGCCACGCTTCAAACGAAGCGAGCCTTCTTTTAAAGCGTAGATAATAGGGTGATGGTGTGTTACTGAGGGGCGACATGCCATCACAGGCATCCGTACTCTTACTCTTGCATCCACAAGCATCTGAACTATCAGTCACCATGTCTCCCTCATACGTATTCGTACAGCTCTTCTTCGTCTCTGCCATTCTCGATGCGATGATTTTTTTTTTCACAAGTGACACTGACCCACTCGAGAGGTTGTTCTATGTTTTATAGAAGTGGAACCGGATCGATATGGTCCCTATTTTGATTGGTCTTCAACCCGGCGAGCTGATTGGTCCGTTCTGGCACCTGACCTGCACCTCGGTTTTCCAAAACAGACCAACCCTTGTGTTTCTTTTCCATAGAAAATGTTTTTATCCATGGGAGAGAGTGCTGTCTTCTGATTGGTCGGTGCTGTCTTCTGATTTGTCGAAAACCCAAGCCTCTGATTGGTCAGGTTACGATAATCTTCCTGTGGAACCATGTAACGTCTGTGCAACATTTGTGTTACATTGCAGACTAGTTGTTGAGTCACGTTGAGGGTAACGTTGGATACCACTTTGCCTAAATAAAGTAACCTTCTTACAACATTGTGGGGACGTCCTTTTCTTAGCTGGTAACACTTGCAGTCTGTCCTTTCAGACCTTTGTCATGCATTAGATTAATGGTTTCTATTGAGTTCGACCGAAAACGTCCCCACGCACCAAAACAGCGCTGACGAATGCGAATTGTGCTTTTAATGTTAGTGTTTTTTATCTAATCTTATTGATACTAACTTCTCACAATATTTTTTATTCGTTTGTGAAGTGGCAGTTCATATTTAGAAATATTATAGGGTTGAAGTTTGTATGTAAATATACCAACTTGCGTGCCAATGTAATATAAATGTGCATCAATATAATTATATCAGATTAAGATTACAACATTTATATATTATTGCGCTGAAATATACTTGGCATCATGTTAACACTTTGAAACAATAATCATTAAACGCTATTTCTAAGACCACAATGAACATTTTATGCGTGGGGATGTTTTAGGTTGGGGACGTTTTCGGTGTACCCCTTTCTGTTTACGTAAGTAGATGAAAGTATTATCTGTATATAAAAGTATCATTTACCAGGATTATCATCTACCTAGATGAAACTATGGAAAACGTTTTTGAAAGTATTATCAACGCAGATGTTTGCAGAAATTTTCGACTGTGACGCTAATAGGCTTCCTACTCTTTTGAATTCTGAGAATATGTGTTTCCGAGAACATTTTCTGATGAAGGTAGACGGATGAGCGTACATATGTTCTTGACAGCATAAAAAATGGTTTTAACTTCAAATTTTGTTTCTGAGATTTGTAATAAAAAAAGATGAATCTGGGAACTTTTGGAACTTAATCTATCTGATATCTTTCAGTTAATATGTTCCTGAGAAAGGTATACATATACATGTAGATATTTTAGGCAACTTGGAGGACAAACATTTTAGAACACTACAAGGAAAGAAGAATCTTCAAAAGGATGGAACACCAGTTCATTTTGAACAACAGAGGTTCGGGTTCCAGTGATTGACGTTAACAAAGGAACCTCTCTCTCTCTCTCACACACACACACATATACATATACACGAACACGGGGTTTTGCGTCTCTGAAAATACTACCCTGCACCTACATACTTGCTCTTACACACATGCACCTGCATTCGTTCAGCCCGTGCCCCATTGTAGCCACTGTGGCGTTATGGTTGAAATACTTCCCAAAGCCACGTAAAACCCAATCAAACAAACATAACACACGTGCAAGCATACGCACAGGCAGTCACTGGACGCTCAAAACAGCTGTACATGCACACACATTTTTGGACATTTCTGAAGCCAGGAACCATGGCAATTTGTATACGTATACGTTAACACATGCATATAAATGGGTATGTTTTCAACATGTAATACTGACTCCCGAGTCACAGTGTGAAGTTAAACACAGTTTAACCAGTGCTTTCAATTGTTCACACTTCAATGAACCCATCAAAACTGCCGTTCAATTCTTAAATGAGTGATGCTGTGTTGAAACTGGATAGAGTGTTACTGTGTTTAAACTAGAGAGAGTGTAACTGTCTTCAAACTGGATAGTGTTACTGTCTTCAAACTGGATAGTGTTACTGTCTTCAAACCGGATAGTGTTACTGTCTTCAAACTGGATAGAGTGTTACTGTGTTTAAACTAGATAGAGTGTTACTGTGTTTAAACTAGATAGAGTGTTACTGTGTTTAAACTAGATAGAGTGCTACTGTGTTTAAACTGGATAGAGTGTTACTGTGTTTAAACTGGATAGGGTATTGCTGTGTTTAAACTAGATAGAGTGTTACTGTGTTTAAACTGGATAGAGTGTTACTGTGTTCAAACTGGATAGGGTGTTGCTGTGTTCAAACTGGATAGAGTGTTACTGTGTTAAAACTGGACAGAGTGTTACTGTGTTTAAACTAGATAAAGTGTGACTGTATACAAACTAGATAGAGCATTACAGTGTTCAAACTTAGTGATATTGACAACCTGATTAATGAAATTCCTGGGGACCTAACTCAGACCCTCATAGTTAGAGGAATAGCCAACAGTGAGAGAGATATCCCTGTGGGATGAGTCACTGGTAATGCAGGGACCCACATGTGGCCCAGAAGGTTAGGGTTAGAGTACAAACCTATATGTTTCTCTACATCATGCGAGTCATGCGGTGTGGGTCTGACATCAATGGAGGAAGCAGCAAAGTCTGACGGCCATCCCCGCCGCACAACCCGAGGTCCCACATCTCGGAGGTCGTTCAAACTAAAACTGAGGTTAGGTCTGTAGGGCGGCGGGCTGCAGAAAAATACATGCAGAACATGCAGCACATACCGCCACATGCCGCACGGAGGTCAACTGCCTGTACAGAATCAGAATCCGAGCACAGCGCTAAGATGATTGTAACTCCCATACCTTAACACAGGCTAAGATCGCTTTATGCAAGTGGGCTCAGGACTCTAAATAGCAGAAGACATAATCCATCATCAATGTATAAATTTATTAGCCCCTTCATCACTAAAAGCAAGGGTTTATTTCACATCAGCACCATTGCCTGTGTTTGTTTCTGTACATTGTGATTACTGGGAGTTTACAGCTTCATGACCACCGTGTGGCAGTAGGCAACTTCAAAGTCTCAACCATTGGTAAATTAACAAACAGTGATTCAGAAATTGATATTTTCCAAAAGAAATCGTCTAATCTAAATTCCAAATTATTGTTCATTTGTAATCGTCTAAAAATTTAGGTTACCAGAATAACAGGGTCTGGATTAATCAGGTTCACTGTATCAAGTTAGCTGTTGTTTGATATGTACATGCTTCCTCACACACACATGCACGTATGTGCGTGAGAACATTCATCTAGCTTACACTAACAGAATTAAACACTGTATCAAACAGGAAGAAGATTCACAACCAATCTCATTAAAATCAGATCTAAGTTCTCACTTCCGCTAAACAAAGATCTGAGGACATCCCATTACTGGTCATGTCAGACTGTCCTTTCGTGAACTTTGACCGACCAATGGAATGACTAACAAGAAGTCGACAATAGCCAATCAGAAGACAGCTTAATCAGGCTTTACTGCACAAGTTTCAAACTGGCGACTACGCTTCGAAACATATTTTGACATATACTTGATTAAAATATTAAAACTGAACAAAAGAACATTCTTGAATGGCTAATAGATGGTCTAGATTGTATGAATACAGACATAACGCCCATAACTGTCGTTCGGAATACCCTGTGTGTGTTTTTTTTAGGTAGATTCCAACTGTCACTTTCATGATCTGACAAGCGATACTCTGATTGGTCAGATGAAAGGTCGTTCTGACATGACCTGTAATGAGATGTCCTCACATCTTTGTTTAGCGGTAGCAAGAACTAAGATCTGATTTCAGTTGCCTACAGAGTTGTTGTCAAGTTTCTGCCAAGACAGAAGAGGACTGAACCTCTGACATCCTGCACACTGCCACAGCAACTTGTGTCTGTGTCTCCAGATGGACTGAGACTGTGGAGAGACTCCCTCTGGAGAGCATCCAGCAACAAACTAAACATGGCACAATGATGCCCCATCAGTAACTTTGCAGCTAAGAGAGCAACAATCTACACACAGAACAATGATGCACTGGCAGTAACTTATGGTGACTAATGGCTCCCACATTCATGCACAAAGTGCAAGAAGTGTCCCTTGCCAGCACCTGACCCTGACTGTTGTTGACTGTGGCAACAAGTGTGGGTTCTGGACTCTGTGTTGGGCAGCTCCAGAAAGTGAATCATAATGCAGGGACGAGTAGAGAGCGATGCTGCCAGACAAGATGCATGCTTCAGTTAGAACATAGCATCACAACTTCTAAATATTGTCCTAATGCCAATATCTATCACATCAACACTATAAGGAGAGGGCAAGCTGTTAGTATCAGACAAAGAGTGCAGAACAGACAGTGGCTTTACCTTCTGTACTTGGCTGGTGGGAAGTGCACTCTCATGTCCTCACTGGCATCGTCGCCAACAGAGCTTCCCTGCAAAGATATCAGTACTAAATTAAAAATGTCGTCAAGTAATGATATCGCAGAGCATCTACAGCTTATCCTAATCACTCATATTCCTTCTCAATTGTTATTTGGGAGGCACGTCCCTTGGGTGCGCCAGAAACCTACGATTGTGAGTTCAAATTCCAGTTCACCCCGATTATGTTTTTAGGTTTGTCAGAACCATGTCTATGCTTGTGGCTTTCACCAAAGTGATCTGAGACCTGCATCATTTCGGGTTTTCCTCTCACATTAAGCTGACATGCCTAGATATAACTGGAATACTGTTCAAAGCTGCATTAAACCCAACCACTCACTCACTCCCACTTGCTCTTCACATCCGTGAGATCTGATGAGTAGCCTAGCGGTTAAAGTGTTCGCTCATCACACCGAAGACCTGAGTTTGATTTCCAACATGGTCACAATGTGTGATGCCAATTTCTGGTGTTCTTCGCCATGATATTGCTGGAATATTGCTACAAGCAGCGTAAAACCTCTCTCACTCACTCACTCACTCACTCACTCACAATTCCTCACCTGCTGACTGGCTGACAGAGATGTATCGCCTATCTCCTCCTCCCTCTCTTCTATCAGGGCATTTCCCTCCAGGTACATGTCAGGACCTGCAGTGCACATGTGACATCACAAATGTGATACATTGTGCAATAGGAACACACATGATATGTGATTACAGTTTAAGACATTCAAGGAGAAGAGAGGTCTTTCATATGTTTGTAGACTTGATAGACTAAATTACGTTCTAAAATCTGTAAACGTTGTAACGCACCATACCCCTAAGAGTCAACTACAAACTCACACATCATACCTCGCAATATCCATGGCAACCACACAGTCACACATCACACCTCGCAGTCTCCATGGCAACCACACAGTTACATATCATACCTCACAGTCTCCATGGTAAACACACAGTTACATATCATACCTCGCAGAGTCCCCATGGCAACCACACAGTTACATATCATACCTCACAGTCTCCATGGTAAACACACAGTTACATATCATACCTCGCAGAGTCCCCATGGCAACCACACAGTTACATATCATACCTCACAGTCTCCATGGTAACAACACAGTCGCACATCATACCTCGCAGAGTCCCCATGGCAACCACAGTTAATTATGATACCTCGCAGAGTCTCCATGGCAACCACACAGTCACACATCATACCTTGCAGAGTCTCCATGGCAACCAGACAGTTACATATCATACCTCGCAGAGTCTCCATGTCAACAACACAGTCACATCATACCTCGCAGTCTCCATGGCAACCACACAGTCACACATCATGCTTTGCAGTCTCCATAGCAACCACACTGTTACATATCATACCTCCCAGTGTCTCCATGGCAACTACACAGTTACATATCATACCTCACAGTCTCCATGACAACCACAGTCACACATCATACCTTGCAGAGTCTCCATGGCAACCAGACAGTTACATATCATACCTCGCAGAGTCTCCATGTCAACCACACAGTCACACATCATACCTCACAGAGTCTCCATGGCAACCACACAGTCACACATCATACCTCGCAGTCTCCATGGCAAACACACAGTTACATATCATACCTCGCAGAGTCTCCATGGCAACTACACAGTTACATATCATACCTCAGTCTCCATGGCAACCATAGTCACACATCATACCTCTCAGAGTCTCCATTGCAACCAGTCACACATCATACCTCACAGAGTCTCCATGGCAACCACACAGTCACACATCATACCTCGCAAAGTCTCCATGGCAACCACACAGTCACACATCATACCTCACAGAGTCTCCATGGCGACCACACAGTCACACATCACATCATACCTCGCAGAGTCTCCATGGCGACCACACAGTCACACATCATACCTCGCAGAGTCTCCATGGCAACCACACAGTCACACATCATACCTCACAGAGTCTCCATGGCGACCACACAGTCACACATCATACCTCGCAGAGTCTCCATGTTACTGGGTCTGGTTCTCATCCTCATCTGGAAACGATGCTGTGCTGTGGAAAACTGAAGCAAGTAGCGACCCCTGAAGGAAATGTTAAATATTAATTAATCTTCCTATTTCTCAAGGCATGTCCTACAGGCAGGAGGTGCTTTGGAAGGAGCTAGGAAGGCTAAACAACAGAGTAATAAATTCTTCAAAACATATGCCTTGCTGATTGCCTAGCCACCATCTTCTACATAAGATTATGATACCAATCTGAAAAAGTTATGAGGAATGTAATGTTTCCCGCACTTTTTGTCCATTGCTAGGCAACCACTACTACATCACATCACATGTTACTCTATGTCATGTTTGTGGTGATGTCACTTTGTACCATGCTCCTGAAAAGTAAACAGTTGAAACTTTCGAGTCTCTTACTCTTAACTTACAAGCTGCTGTAAATTTGTATGCTCCGGGTAAAGGTACCTGTGGAATATGGATACACAACAAGAATGACATCTGGCTAGCCAGCCATGTTGTTTGACCTGACACCACAAACACAATGCCATGTTTGGTATGACGAGACTTTTACATACATAATGCCATGTTTTGTATGACACAACTTGACAAAAAATAATACTATGTTTGACATGATATAACTCATACAAACATAGTCCATGTTTGGTGTTACATAACTCATACAAACATAATGCCATGTTTGGTGTTACATAACTCATACAAGCATAATGCCACGTTTAGTTTGGCATAACTCGTACAAACATAATGCCATGTTTGGTGTTACATAACTCATACAAGCATAATGCCACGTTTAGTTTGGCATAACTCTCACAAACATAATGCCATGTTTGGTGTTACATAACTCATACAAACATAATGCCATGTTTGGTCTTACATAACTCATACTAACATAATGCCATGTTTGGTGTGACATAAATCATACAAACATAATGTCATGTTGAGTGTTACATGACTCGAACAAACATAATGCCATGTTTGGTGTTACATAACTCGTACAAACATAATGCCATGTTTAGTGTTACATAACTCATACAAACATAATGCCATGTTTTGTGTTACATAACTTGTACAAACATAATGCCATGTTTGGTGTTACATAACTCGTACAAACATAATGCCATGTTTGGTGTGACATAACTTGTACAAATATAATACCCTCTTTGGTTTGACATAACTTCTACAAACATAATGCCATGTTTCGTGTGCCATAACTTGTACAAACATAATGCCATGTTTTGTGTGACATAACTCATACAAACATTATGCCATGTTTGGTGTTACATAACTCATACACACATAATGCCCTGTTTGGTGTGACATAACTCATACAAACATAATGCCATGTTTGGTGTGACATTAATCATACAAACATAATGCCCTGTTTAGTGTTACATAACTCGTACAAACATAATGCCATGTTTAGTGTTACATAACTCATACACACATAATGCCATGTTTCATGTGACATAACTCATACAAACATAATGTCCTGTTTAGTGTGACATAACTCGTACAAACATAATGCCATGTTTGGTGTTACATAACTCATACACACATAATGCCATGTTTTGTGTTACATAACTCATACACACATAATGCCATGTTTTGTGTTACATAACTCATACAAACATAATGCCATGTTTTGTGTGACATAACTTATACACACATAATGCCATGTTTTGTGTGACATAACTCGAACAAACATAATGTCATGTTTGGTGTGACATAACTCGTACAAACATAATGTCATGTTTGATGTTACGTCATGCATACAAACATAATGTCATGTTTGGTGTGACATAACTCATACACACATAATGCCATGTTTTGTGTGACATAACTCGAACAAACATAATGTCATGTTTGGTGTGACATAACTCGTACAAACATAATGTCATGTTTGATGTTACGTCATGCATACAAACATAATGTCATGTTTGGTGTTACATAACTCATACACACATAATGCCATGTTTTGTGTTACATAACTCATACAAACATAATGCCATGTTTTGTGTGACATAACTTGTACAAACATAATGCCATGTTTGGTGTTACATAACTCATACAAACATAATGCCATGTTTGGTGTTACATAACTCATACAAACATAATGCCATGTCTTGTGTGACATAACTCATACACACATAATGCCATGTTTTGTGTTACATAACTCATACAAACATAATGCCATGTTTCATGTGACATAACTCATACAAACATAATGCCATGTTTTGTGTGACATAACTTGTACAAACATAATGCCATGTTTGGTGTTACATAACTCATACAAACATAATGCCATGTTTTGTGTGACATAACTCATACACACATAATGCCATGTTTTGTGTGACATAACTCATACAAACATAATGCCATGTTTTGTGTGACATAACTTGTACAAACATAATGCCATGTTTAGTGTGACATAACTCATACAAACATAATGCCATGTTTTGTGTGACATAACTTGTACAAACATAATGCCATGTTTGGTGTGACATAACTCATACAAACATAATGCCATGTTTTGTGTGACATAACTTTTACAAACATAATGCCATGTTTTGTGTTACATAACTCATACAAACATAATGCCATGTTTTGTGTGACATAACTCATACACACATAATGCCATGTTTTGTGTTACATAACTCATACAAACATAATGCCATGTTTTGTGTGACATAACTTGTACAAACATAATGCCATTTTTGGTGTTACATAACTCGTACAAACATAATGTCATGTTTAGTGTGACATAACTCATACAAGTATAATGCCATGTTTAGTTTGGCATAACTCGCACAAACATAATGCCATGTTTGGTGTGACATAACTTGTACAAACATAATGCCCTCTTTGGTGTGACATAACTTGTACAAACATAATGCCATGTTTGGTGTGACATAACTTGTACAAACATAATGCCCTCTTTGGTGTGACATAACTTGTACAAACATAATGCCATGTTTGGTGTGACATAACTCGTACAAACATAATGCCCTCTTTGGTGTGACATAACTTGTACAAACATAATGCCATGTTTGGTGTGACATAACTTGTACAAACATAATGCCATGTTTGGTGTGACATAACTTGTACAAACATAATGCCATGTTTGGTGTGACATAACTTGTACAAACATAATGCCATGTTTGGTGTGACATAACTTGTACAAACATAGTGCCATGTTTTGTGTGACATAACTTGTACAAACATAATGCCATGTTTTGTGTTACATAACTCATTCAAACATAATGCCATGTTTTGTGTTACATAACTCATACAAACATAATGCCATGTTTGGTGTGACATAACTTGTACAAACATAATGCCATGTTTGGTGTTACATAACTCGTACAAACATAATGCCATGTTTGGTGTGACATAACTTGTACAAACATAATGCCATGTTTGGTGTGACATAACTCGTACAAACATAATGCCACGTTTAGTTTGGCATAACTCGTACAAACATAATGCCATGTTTGGCGTGACATAACTTGTACAAATATAATACCCTCTTTGGTTTGACATAACTTCTTTTGGATTGACTCTAACACGTTACATGGATCAGTGGGACTGACTCTAACACGTTACATGGATCAGTGGGACTGACTCTAACACATTACATGGATCAGTGGGACTGACTCTAACACATTACATTGATCAGTGGGATTGACTCTAACACATTACATTGATCAGTGGGATTGACTCTAACATGTTACATAGATCAGTGGGATTGACTCTAACATGTTACATAGATCAGTGGGATGATTCTAACATGTTAAGTGGATCAGTGGGACTGACTCAAACACATTACGTGGATCAGTGGGACCGACTCTTACATATTACACAGATCATTTGGATTGACTCTAACACGTTACATGGATCAGTGGGACTGACTCTAACATATTACACATGATCATTTGGATTGACTCTAACACGTTACATTGATCAGTGGGACTGATTCTAACACATAACACAGATCATTTGGATTGACTGTAACACATTACACAGATCATTTGGATTGACTCTAACACGTTACATAGATCAGTGGGACTGACTCGAACACATTACATTGATCAGTGGGATTGACTCTAACATGTTGCATAGATCAGTGGGATTGACTAAGACGTTTAATGGATCAGTGGGACTAACTCTAACATGTTACATAGATCAGTGGGATTGACTAAGACGTTACATGGATCAGTGGGACTGACTCTAACATGTTACATAGATAAGTTGGATTGACTAAGACGTTACATGGATCAGTGGGACTGACTCTAACATGTTACATAGATAAGTGGGATTGACTCTAACACATTACATAGATCAGTGGGATTGACAAAGATGTTACATGGATCAGTGGGACTGACTCGAACACATTACGTGGATCAGTTTGAGTTACTCTTACATGTTACATAGATCAGTTGGATTGACTCTAACACGTTACATGGATCAGTGGGACTGATTCTAACCCAGTGGGAATGACTAACACGTTACACAGATCAGTGGGAGTGACTCTAACACGTTGAGTGCATCAGTTTGACTGATCCTAACACGTTACACAGATCAGTGGGAGTGACTCTAACACGTTACATGGATCAGTTGGACTGACTCTAACACGTTAGGTGGATCAGTGGGACTGACTCACTTCCTGTAGCTGCTTGAGAAGAAGTTGATCTTGGGTGGCTTGCCCTTGGCAGCCATGTCTGGCTTGGGCTGGACGCTGAACCTGCGCTTGTTGAAGGAGATCTTCAGAATGTTATTCCAGGCATGGCGGTTGGTGATGATGCGCTGATGGCCCTGGAGCTCGGCTAGCACTAAGTTGTGGCTGGCCATACCCACGTACATCACATTTGATGTGTCATTCTTGCTCTGATGACAAGTCAGGGTCATATTAGATATGTCATTTCACAAATTGCAGTGTTAATGTTATTGATAATACAAATAAAAAATAAAAAATAAAAATATTAATAATAATAATAATAATAATAATAATAATAATAATAATGGACTTTAGTAATGTGCTACATCAACCCATTCTCATTGCACAAGAAGTTGCAGATTGGAGATTAAAGTATCTGTCACATAAAAGTTATTCCTTGTTTATTCTATGAATGATTCATATCAGGGTATTTTGAGAGCATGTCTCTCACTGACCTTGAACAGTTTGTGGAAGTGCACCCCATACTCTGGAAGACTCATGGCCAGCTGAAATGGATGGGATATCATTCACTAATTAACTGAAAAAAACACTGTAACTTGAGGATCTGATGGTGTCAATGTGTGGCCTGCCTGACCAAAAACACCAATGTACCTTGAGGATCTGATGGTGTGAATGTGTGGCCTGACTGACTGATAACACTAATGTAACTTGAGGATCTGATGGTGTCAATGTGTGGCCTAACTGACTGAAAACACCAATGTAACTTGAGGATCTGATGGTGTCAATGTGTGGCCTGACTGACTGGAAACACCAATGTAGCTTGAGGATCTGATGATGTCAATGTGTGGCCTGCCTGACTGAAAACACCAATGTAACTTGAGGATCTGATGGTGTCAATGTGTGGCCTAACTGACTGAAACCACCAATGTAACTTGAGGATCTGATGGTGTCAAGGTGTGGCCTGACTGACTGGAAACACTAATGTAACTTGAGGATCTGATGGTGTCAAGGTGTGGCCTGACTGACTGGAAACACTAATGTAACTTGAGGATCTGATGGTGTCAAGGTGTGGCCTAACTGACTGGAAACACTAATGTAACTAGAGGATCTGATGGTGTCAATGTGTGGCCTGACTGACTGAAACCACCAATGTAACTTGAGGATCTGATGATGTCAATGTGTGGCCTGACTGACTGGAAACACCAATGTAACTTGAGGATCTGATGGTGTCAATGTGTGGCCTGCCTGACTGAAAACACCAATGTAACTTGAGGATCTGATGGTGTCAATGTGTGGCCTGCCTGACTGGAAACACCAACGACCTCACCTTGATGTACTCCAGCTCTGCTTGTGTTGGGGGTAGGCCAGTATTCTGCCTATGTGCCACAACCGCCTTCTCCCTGACTGCACCGAGTCCCAGCCGGCGAGCCACACGTCCAGGGAAGTACTGCTCGGGCACAAAGTAGTTCCTGCCCAAAGTGTCCTGGTCTCCGACTTCTACCTGCAGCGCCAAACCGGCCAGGGACACCGCCTGCTCCTCCGTGCAGTGGGTGCGCTCTTCCAGAACGTCATGGCGCAACTGCAGGTACAGCAGGTGGTGGCTGCACAGGTGCCTGCAGATAAACATCGCAGATATATAGTCAGGTGCCTGCAGATAAACATCACAGATATATAGTCAGGTGCCTGCAGATAAACATCACAGACATATAGTCAGGTGCCTGCAGATAAACATCACAGATATATAGTCAGGTGCCTGCAGATAAACATCACAGATATTAAGTCAGGTGCCTGCAGATAAACATCACAGATATTAAGTCAGATGCCTGCAGATAAACATCACAGATATAAACTCAGGTCCCTCCAGATAAACATCGCAGATATATAGTCAGGTGCCTGCAGAAAAACATCAGAGATATTTAGTCATATACCTGCAGACAAACATCACAAATATAAAGTCAGGTGCCAGCAGATAAACATCACAGATATTAAGTCAGGTGCCTGCAGATAAACATCACAGATATTAAGTCAGATGCCTGCAGATAAACATCACAGATATAAACTCAGGTCCCTCCAGATAAACATCGCAGATATATAGTCAGGTGCCTGCAGATAAACACCAGAGATATTTAGTCATATACCTGCAGACAAACATCACAAATATAAAGGCAGGTGCCAGCAGATAAACATCACAGATATTAAGTCAGATGCCTGCAGATAAACATCACAGATATATAGTCGGGTGTCTACAGATAAACATCACAGATATATAGTCAGGTGCCTGGATGCAGAGATACAACTCACATATATAAAGTCAGGTGCCTGGATCAAGATAAACATCACAGATATATAGTAAGGTGTCTACAGATGCACATCACAGATATATAGTCGGGTGTCTACAGATAAACATCACAGATATAAAGTCAGGTGTCTACAGATACACACCACAGATATATAGTCGGGTGTCTACAGAACACTGATATAAAGTTAGGTGTCTACAGATACACATCATAGATATATAGTCGGGTGTCTACAGATACACATCACAGATATAAAGTCAGGTGTCTACAGAACACTGATATAAAGTTAGGTGTCTACAGAACAAAGATATATAATCATGTGTCTACAGAACAAAGATATATAGTCAGTTGTCCACAGAACACAGATATATCGTCCGGTGTCTACAGAACACCAATATAAAGTCAGGTGTCCACAGAACACAGATATATTGTCAGGTGTCTACAGAACACCGATATATAGTCAGGTGTCTACAGAACACAGATATATCGTCATGTGTCTACAGAACACAGATATATCGTCAGGTGTCTACAGAACACACATATATCAGGTGTCTACAGAACACCGATATATAGTCAGGTGTCCACCGAACACAGATATATAGTCAGTTGTCCACAGAACACTGATATAAAGTTAGGTGTCTACAGAACACAGATATATAGTCAGTTGTCCACAGAACACAGATATATCATCAGGTGTCCACAGAACACAGATATATCGTCAGGTGTCTACAGAACACAGATATATAGTCAGGTGTCCACAGAACCCGGGTATATCGTCAGGTGTCTACAGAACACATATATATAGTCAGGTGTCTAAAGAACACAGATATATAGTCAGTTGTCCACAGAACACAGATATATCATCAGGTGTCTACAGAACACAGATATATAGTCAGATGTCCACAGAACACAGATAAATCGTCAGGTGTCTACAGAACACAGATATATAGTCAGGTGTCCACAGAACACAGATATATCATCAGGTGTCTACAGAACACAGATATATAGTCAGGTGTCTACAGAACACAGATATATAGTCAGGTGTCCACAGAACACAGATATATCGTCAGGTGTCCTCAGAACACCGATATATAGTCAGGTGTCCACAGAACACCGATATATAGTCAGGTGTCCACAGAACACAGATATATAGTCAGGTGTCCACAGAACACAGATATATAGTCAGGTGTCTACAGATACAACATGAAACATATATATATTTCAAAATAAACAATTCTTACCTGAGATCAGCCATGGCATCAACATAGTACTTGACCCTGAGATGGAGTGTGAGGGTGACCGTGGAGACACAGCCTTTCCTCCAATCCCTCCATCCTTCTGGCGCCACCTTGTGGAGCTTCGTGTCCCCCTCCAGGAAGAAGTGCTCACTCTCTGTCAACACCCACACAACCTCACCTTACTTCTGTCAGCACAAACATCTTTTCCAAAGTTGAAATCTACATTTTCCAATCATAAAACCATTTTCTGAGTATATATATTGTTCAAAACAATATTTGTATCTATCATTACTGTGTTATGGTAATACCTGCACAATATCATTTATATCTCAACCATGTTGTGTGATGACCTTGAAATGTAACGGTTGTGGGCTTGAACCCTGGTTGTTCCAAATCCTTTTCACTTTTACATTTAAAGACCCTCGACCTGATAATGGTCTCATGACATAGAAATATATTTCTTGTACATTGTATAAAATTACAATATGTCATATTATTTTATGACATCTTTTAAATTTCCATCAGGAGATTCTGTCCCTGTGTTGTACCGTTGACGTAGGACAGACCAAAGAAGAAGAACTCTGCAATGCCGAGGTGAGCTATGACTGCATCAAACAGCTGGCGTCCGGTGGTGCTGGGGTCCACGATTGACTCCAACTTCTGCCCAGTCAAGTGAATGATGACCACGCGGCGGGCGAGGGACGGGTTCTTCAAGCTCTGAAATAACAACACATCAACAATTTGTACAAGAACAGACAAGACAAGAGATTAGCAGATGAACAATATCATAGGATAAGATGCGAGGCATAGAGAAAAACAAAGTCATATAAGGATATGATGAGAGATATAGAGAAGAACAAAGTAATATAAGGATATGATGAGAGATATAGAGAAGAACAAAGTCATATAAGGATATGATGAGAGATATAGAGAAGAACAAAGTCATATAAAGATAAGATAAGAGGTATAGAGAAGAACAAAGTCATATAAAGATAAGATGCGAGGCATAGAGATGAACAAAGTCATATAAGGATATGATGAGAGATATAGAGAAGAACAAAGTCATATAAAGATAAGATAAGAGGTATAGAGAAGAACAAAGTCATATAAAGATAAGATGCGAGGCATAGAGAAGAACAAAGTCATATAAAGATAAGATGCGAGGCATAGAGAAGAACAAAGTCATATAAAGATAAGATGAGAGATATAGAGAAGAACAAAGTCATATAAGGATATGATGAGAGATATAGAGAAGAACAAAGTCATATAAAGATAAGATGCGAGGCATAGAGAAGAACAAAGTCATATAAGGATAAGATGAGAGATATAAAGAAAAACAAAGCCATATAAGGATAAGATGTCAGATATAGAGAAGAACAAAGTCATATAAGGATATGATGAGAGATATAAAGAAAAACAAAGCCATATAAGGATAAGATGAGAGATATAGAGAAGAACAAAGTCATATAAGGATATGATGAGAGATATAAAGAAAAACAAAGCCATATAAGGATAAGATGAGAGATATAGAGAAGAACATAGTCATATAAAGATAAGATGAGAGATATAGAGAAGAACAAAGTCATATAAAGATAAGATGCGAGGCATAGAGAAGAACAAAGTCATATAAAGATAAGATGAGAGATATAGAGAAGAACAAAGTCATATAAGGATATGATGAGAGATATAGAGAAGAACAAAGTCATATAAAGATAAGATGCGAGGCATAGAGAAGAACAAAGTCATATAAGGATAAGATGAGAGATATAAAGAAAAACAAAGCCATATAAGGATAAGATGTCAGATATAGAGAAGAACAAAGTCATATAAGGATATGATGAGAGATATAAAGAAAAACAAAGCCATATAAGGATAAGATGAGAGATATAGAGAAGAACAAAGTCATATAAGGATATGATGAGAGATATAAAGAAAAACAAAGCCATATAAGGATAAGATGAGAGATATAGAGAAGAACATAGTCATATAAAGATAATATGAGAGATATAGAGAAGAACATAGTCATATAAAGATAAGATGAGAGATATAGAGAAGAACAAAGCCATATAAGGATAAGATGTGAGATATAGAGAAGAACAAAGTCATATAAGGATATGATGAGAGATATAAAGAAAAACAAAGCCATATAAAGATAAGATGAGAGATATAGAGAAGAACAAAGTCATATAAGGATAAGATGAGAGATATAGAGAAGAACAAAGTCATATAAGGATAAGATGCGAGGCATAGAGAAGAACAATGTCATATAAGGATAAGATGAGAGACATAGAGAACAGTGAAAGGATGAGAGTAGTAGGGCAATCACTGTGTGAAGCATGCGACATGACTTACCTCCCCTTGCAGTGGCATGGTCAGCTTAGTGATAGGTTTGCCAGCACGGTACGCAAACTCTGGGCCAACAAACTCCTGAAACACAGAGACATGTCATTGTCAAGTCCTACATTAGGCTAAAAAGATAACAGTCTTGGTTCTCAGGCACCACCGCATCATCATATAGTCTGCCTCATGTTTTTTTAATTACCATTTTCAAAAAAATAAAAAAATCCTAATACATGTACTTAAACACAATGCCTTAGATTGCTTCTTTAATAGTCTTGTAATGGGAACAAATTACATTGATGGCAAGGAATGTGTTGTTATCCACTACATTGATTGTGAGGAATGTGTTGTTACCAACCCACCTTTTGTTGGTTGTTCAGTTTTGGTTGGTTGGTGTCAGCTGCTGTGTTACAATGTTCCTTGTGGTTGATTGCTGGGGAATCCTCTGTAGCCCTACATGGTGACAATCATAAAGCACATTATGTGAAGCCTACCAACTTCAAGTACAGAAGCTGCATGTACAATGAAAACACTTTTTTGTACTTATCCTGATATTGAAGCTGTAACACATTAAGTGTGTGTCTGTTATCTGAATGTGTGTATGTTACCTGAGTATGTGTCTGTTATCTGAGTGTGTGTCTGTTATCTGAATGTGTGTCTGCTACCTGAATGTGTGTATGTTATTTGAATGTGTCTGTTACCTGAATTTGTGTCTGTTATCTGAATGTGTCTGTTACCTTAGTGTGTCTGTCACCTGAGTGTGTGTCTGTTACCTGAATGTGTGTCTGTTATCTGTATGTCTCTGTCACCCGAGTGTGTGTATGTTACCTGAGTATGTGTCTGTTAAATGAGTGTGTGTCTGTTATCTGAATGTGTGTCTGTTAAATGAGTGTGTGTCTGTTATCTGAATGTGTTTTTGTCACCTAAGTGTGTGTCTGTTACCTGGATGTGTGTCTGTCACCTGAGTGTGTGTCTGTTACCTGAGTATGAGTCTGTTATCTGTATGTGTCTGTTATCTGAAAGTGTGTCTATTATCTGAATGTGTCTGTTATCTGAATGTATGTATGTTACCTGAGTATGTGTCTGTTACCTGAGTATGTGTCTGTTATCTGAGTGTGTGTCCGTTACCTGAATGTGTCTGTTATCTGAGTATGTGTCTGTTATCTGACTATGTTATCTGAATGGATGTCTATTACCTGAGTGTGTGTCTGTTACCTGAGTGTGTGTCTGTTACCTGAATGTGTGTCTGTTATCTGTATGTCTCTGTCACCCGAGTGTGTGTATGTTACCCGAGTATGTGTCTCTTAAATGAGTGTGTGTCTGTTAAATGAGTGTGTGTCTGTTATCTGAATGTGTTTTTGTCACCTAAGTGTGTGTCTGTTACCTGAATGTGTGTCTGTTACCTGAATGTGTGTCTGTTATCTCTATGTCTCTGTCACCTGAGTGTGTGTCTGTTACCTGAGTGTGTGTCTGTTACCTGAGTGTGTGTCTGTTATCTGAGTGTGTGTCTGTTATCTCAATGTGTGTCTGTTACCTGAGTATGTGTCTGTTATCTGAGTGTGTGTCTGTTACCTGAATGTGTGTGTTATCTGAGTATGTGTCTGTTATCTCACTAAGTTATCTGAATGGATGTCTATTACCTGAGTGTGTGTCTGTTACCTGAGTGTGTGTCTGTAACCTGAGTGTGTGTCTGTTATCTGAGTGTGTGTCTGTTACCTGAATGTGTCTGTTTCCTTAGTGTGTGTCTGTTATCTGTGTGTGTGTCTGTTATCTGAATGTGTCTGTTACCTGAGTCTGTGTCTGTCATCTGAATGTGTCTGTTACCTGAGTGTGTGTCTGTTATCTCAGTGTGTGTCTGTTACCTGAATGTGTCTGTTACCTGAGTGTGTGTCTGTTACCTGAGTGTGTCTGTTACCTGAATGTGTCTGTTATCTGAGTGTGTGTCTGTTATCTCAGTATGTGTCTGTTACCTGAGTATGTGTCTGTTACCTGAGTATGTGTCTGTTATCTCAATGTGTGTCTGTAATCTCAATGTGTCTGTTACCTGAATGTGTGTCTGTTACCTGAATGTGTCTGTTATCTGACTGTGTGTCTGTTACCTGAATGTGTCTGTTACCTTAGTATATGTCTGTTATCTGACTCTGTTATCTGAATGGATGTCTATTACCTGAGTGTGTGTCTGTCACCTGAGAGTGTGTCTGTTATCTGAGTATGTGTCTGTTACCTGAATGTATGTCTCTTACCTGAGTATGTGTCTGTTATCTCAATGTGTGTCTGTTATCTGAATGTGTCTTTTACCTGAATCTGTGTCTGTTACCTGAATGTGTGTCTGTTATCTGTATGTCTCTGTCACCCGAGTGTGTGTATGTTACCCGAGTATGTGTCTCTTAAATGAGTGTGTGTCTGTTAAATGAGTGTGTGTCTGTTATCTGAATGTGTTTTTGTCACCTAAGTGTGTGTCTGTTACCTGAATGTGTCTGTTACCTGAATGTGTGTCTGTTATCTGTATGTCTCTGTCACCTGAGTGTGTGTCTGTTACCTGAGTGTGTGTCTGTTACCTGAGTGTGTGTCTGTTATCTGAGTGTGTGTCTGTTATCTCAATGTGTGTCTGTTACCTGAGTATGTGTCTGTTACCTGAATGTGTGTGTTATCTGAGTATGTGTCTGTTATCTCACTAAGTTATCTGAATGGATGTCTATTACCTGAGTGTGTGTCTGTTACCTGAGTGTGTGTCTGTAACCTGAGTGTGTGTTTGTTATCTGAGTGTGTGTCTGTTACCTGAATGTGTCTGTTTCCTTAGTGTGTGTCTGTTATCTGTGTGTGTGTCTGTTATCTGAATGTGTCTGTTACCTGAGTCTGTGTCTGTCATCTGAATGTGTCTGCTACCTGAGTGTGTGTCTGTTATCTCAGTGTGTGTCTGTTACCTGAATGTGTCTGTTACCTGAGTGTGTGTCTGTTACCTGAGTGTGTCTGTTACCTGAATGTGTCTGTTATCTGAGTGTGTGTCTGTTATCTCAGTATGTGTCTGTTACCTGAGTATGTGTCTGTTACCTGAGTATGTGTCTGTTATCTCAATGTGTGTCTGTAATCTCAATGTGTCTGTTACCTGAATGTGTGTCTGTTACCTGAATGTGTCTGTTATCTGACTGTGTGTCTGTTACCTGAATGTGTCTGTTACCTTAGTATATGTCTGTTATCTGACTCTGTTATCTGAATGGATGTCTATTACCTGAGTGTGTGTCTGTCACCTGAGAGTGTGTCTGTTATCTGAGTATGTGTCTGTTACCTGAATGTATGTCTCTTACCTGAGTATGTGTCTGTTATCTCAATGTGTGTCTGTTATCTGAATGTGTCTTTTACCTGAATCTGTGTCTGTTATCTGAATGTGTGTCTGTTACCTGAGTATGTGTCTGTAACCTGAATGTGTGTCTGTTACCTGAGTGTGTGTATCTTACCTTAGTATCTGTCTGTCACCTGAGTGTGTGTCTGTTACCTGAGTATGTGTCTGTTACCTGAGTGTGTGTCTGTTACCTGAGTATGTGTCTGTTACCTGAGTGTGTGTCTGTTACCTGAGTATGTGTCTGTTACCTGAGTGTGTGTCTGTTACCTGAATGAATGTCTGTTATCTGAGTAAGTGTCTGTTATCTGAATGTCTCTGTCACCCGAGTTCGTGTCTGTTATCTGAATGTGTATCTGTTACCTGAGTATGTGTCTGTTTTCTGAATGTCTCTGTCACCTGAGTGTGTGTCTGTTACCTGAGTATGTGTCTGTTACCTGAGACTGTGCATGTTACCTTAGTATGTGTCTGTTACCTGAGTGTGTGTCTGTAACCTGAGTATGTGTCTGTTACCCGAGTGTGTGTCTGTTACCTTAGTATGTGTCTGTTACCTGAGTATGTGTCTGTTAACTGAGTGTGTGTCTGTTACCTGAGTATGTGTCTGTTACCTGAGTGTGTGTCTGTTACCTTATAATGTGTCTGTTACCAGTACCTGTGTGTCTGTTACCTGAGTATGTGTCTGTTACCTGAGTGTGTGTCTGTTACCTTAGTATGTGTCTGTTACCTGAGTGTGTGTCTGTAACCTGAGTATGTGTCTGTTACCCGAGTGTGTGTCTGTTACCTTAGTATGTGTCTGTTACCTGAGTATGTGTCTGTTACCTGAGTATGTGTCTGTTAGCTGAGTGTGTGTCTGTTACCTGAGTATGTGTCTGTTACCTGAGTGTGTGTCTGTTACCTGAGTATGTGTCTGTTACCTGAGTGTGTGTCTGTTACCTGAATGAATATCTGTTACCTGAGTATGTGTCTGTTATCTGAATGTCTCTGTCACCCGAGTTTGTGTCTGTTATCTGAATGTGTGTCTGTTACCTGAGTATGTGTCTGTTACCTGAGTGTGTGTCTGTTACCTGAGTATGTGTCTGTTACCTGAGTGTGTGTCTGTTACCTGAGTATGTGTCTGTCACCTGAGTGTGTGTCTGTTACCTGAGTATGTGTGTGTCTGTTACCTGAGTATGTGTCTGTTACCTGAGTATGTGTCTGTTACCTGAGTGTGGCTGTTACCTGAATGCTTTAGATTCGGACATTAAAGAGAAGAGGTCACTGCTGAAGATGCTGTCCTGGTCGAGGTCTGTCATCAGGAGCGCTGCCTCAGACCCGTACTGGGCATGGATTCCTGGCATATAACTCCCTGTGGGTGAAAACATAGCTGACTGTGCCATCATCATAATCATTGTAGAAGATCAAAGGCACTATTTTGTTAATAAGTGTAAATGGTCAACAACAATGGTCACCTTACATAAAATGGTATTCCTAAATGTGAGGAGCAAGAGTCTAAGGCATCCCTTAGGTGTGCAAGGATCCTTGCTTAATGGTTGGAGTCCAAGATTCACCCTGGTAATGATACGCGCCTTTTTAGCGCATTTCCTTCACTGATTGGTTTCAGTGAAGTGGAAAAAGCCCTGCAGTCTCCCACAAATAAAGGGATTTTCACACAGTGATGTAACTGAAATACTGTTCAAAGCAGTGTTAAACCTTGCACACTCAATCATTCCCTATGATACTTGGCTTGGGATTCCCAAGATGAGACGTCTACTGAATCTCACCTAATGTACAGGAAATGAGGGACACAGTTGAGTGAGTGTCCGACATGTTTTCTGCACCATGGCCCTGTGACAGGTCCTGACTCACATCCACTCCATACTTGCCCTGTCGCAGAGCACGGAGCTTCCGCTGACGCTCTTTTAAACGCATGTATTTCTGGTAGGCAGAGTGCTTCATTCCAGGAGAGAGGAATCCCTGGCTCCGCACAGTGTGGTAAGGAGGTGGTAGCTGGTACTGTCCTACTGTTGATGTAATAGGCTGGCCCTGCTGTAGAGTTTGTTCTGAGGTACCAGCATGGGTCACAGCTGGAGGCGTGTTCTCATCAGGTGATGCTACAAACATGGACTGTAATGGTGGTGCCAAGCCTCTGTGGAGGTTGAAATGTTGGCTGTTGAAACTGAGATTCTGTGGTGTGTGGTGTGAGGCCACGGCTGGTTCATCGTGATGTCGTGAACCTCCCTCTCTACGATATGGATGATAGCCTGAGTCACTTGTTCCTAAAAATATTATCTTCAGTTATCCAGTGTATTTTATCTCTACCATGGTGACGCTGGGACGTATTCAGGTGATTAGTTTTTAGAAGCTGGAAACTTTGTCCAAGCATGTTTCCACATAAGGATCAAAAGAAGAAGGAAGCATTGCATCATGTGAGACAGGTTAAGCTTAAAAATTACTGAAATAGTTTTGCAAGAGGTGTACTTGTACTGCTTAATACTGGACCCGTGAAGATCTGGGGTAGAATAGGTCTTCAGCAACCATGCTTGTCGTAAAAGGCTATTATGCTTGTCATAAGAGGCAACTAACGGGATCAGGTGGTTAGGTTCGCTGACTTGGTTGATGCATGTCATTGTATCCCAGTTGCGTGGATCTCTGCTCATGATGTCAATCACGGGATTGTCTGGTCCAGACTTGATTATTTACAGACCACCGTCATATAGCTGGAATATTGCTGAGTGTGGCAAACAACAAACAAACAAAACAAAGCGTAATACTGCAAATGTTTAGTATCATAGACAAACCTCGACTCCTACTACAAGACCTTGACCTAGATCTTGACCTTGACCTGCTCCTATTACTGTGGTCATGTTGGTGGCGATGTCGCGGTCTGGCCGACGATCTGCGTCGTCGTGACAAAGTGCTCTGGCGGCTTTGATCGCTACCATAACTGCTGTCATTGCTGACTTCCATCTGATCAACAGAAGTTTACCAGCTTGATATAGGAAACACAGGCATTTAGCATCTTCTACAGTGAACTTACAACATGCACACCAAATATGACGACAGGCCATATTCAAGTGATGAGCCCTCAGCATTCAGGGGATAAACCAAGGAATAGTGGGCTCAGAGTCTGCATACAGTGTCTGAGTGGGGTATCCATGTTGAACTGCAGCATGGTATCTCACTGGGCTAGCACTATAAAATAGACACAAGTCTGGACATTGTACACGCACGCACGCACGCACGCACGCACGCACACACGCACGCACGCAGGAGAGTCATACCTTGTCTGGGTTAGGTCCCAGGACAGACTGGTGCAGTCTGGTTATATAGTGGGAGTACGGCAGCTTGTTGCCTCGCTGTTGCGAGTTAAGGGTACAGGCCTGAAATTCAAAATAATCTCAATATATTTGTAACTAATGAAAACATCTTAACACATGACTGGTTCTTCTGAAGACATAATCGTCAAAATACAACAAATATGATTTTTCAATGAGTCGATGTAGGGCATTTATGATATATGTATCCATTCTCTGTCGACTAAAGTTTATTTCAAGGCATCAATAGCGGTAAACTGACTGTGGTTGCTATAAATAACAGTGAGTTGTGAAATCTACTGATCACTTCACATTCATGATTTCGCTAAGATTTATGTGAACAATATTGATGAAATTTTGAATAAAATTAATAAAATAGGTTACAAATTTAGGTCCAGATATACAATAAACACTTTTTATAACCAGACAGTGTCATTACATGATTAATTTGCATACTTCAGTACGGGTTTGTTGGCATGGTATTTTCAGTGTTACGTGCTCATGGTAATGTCAAAACTCTTCTATCCTGTGTATAGGGCGGCCCCCTCTTGAAACACGCTTAAAACCTCCAAAATGAATGTATGGTGATGTAAGGTAAATGAATGTAGGGTGGCAAATGGGCCCATGTTCTTCATCTCAATAACATTAATGAAAGATTGAACCATTGTAGATTTCTGGCAATCGTGAGATTTACCAGATCAGAGTGTGCAATGCAATCAATACTACACACTACAGGACATTGATCGCTAGCACAACCCGAATAACAACAGGATCTGTTGTGCTGTGTAGAAATAGGCCAGTGAGAGCGATCTGGGTCTGATTGGCAGGAACATCTGGCAGCTGCTTGACACTGCAACAGCTGGGAGCAGTGAGGAATAGTGACAGTCAATAATATAGAAACCAGGCAGTACGTACAGAAGTACATGTATAGCACCAGGACATGACAGTGTTATGTATAGCAGCAGGACATCACAGTGTTATGTATAGCACCAGGTCATCACAGTGTTATGTATAGCACCAGGACATCACAGTGTTATGTGTAGCAGCAGGACATCACAGTGTTATGTATAGCAGCAGGACATCACAGTGTTATCTATAGCAGCAGGACATCACAGTGTTATGTATAGCAGCAGGACATCACAGTGTTATGTATAGCAGCAGGACGCACAGTGTTATGTATAGCAGCAGCACATGACAACATTATGTATAGCAGCAGGACATCACAGTGTTATGTATAGCAGCAGGACATCACAGTGTTATGTATAGCAGCAGGATGCACAGTGTTATGTATAGCAGCAGGACATGACAGTGTTATGTATAGCAGCAGGACGCACAGTGTTATATATAGCAGCAGGACATCACAGTGTTATGTATAGCAGCAGGACATCACAGTGTTATGTATAGCAGCAGCACATGACAGCATTATGTATAGCACCAGGACATCACAGTATTATGTATAGCAGCAGGACATCACAGTGTTATTTATAGCAGCAGGACATCACAGTGTTATGTATAGCAGCAGGACATAACAGTGTTATGTCTAAAACAGGACATCACAGTGTTATACAAAGCAGCAGGACATCACAGTGTTATATAAAGCAGCAGGACATCACAGAGTTATATAAAGGAGCAGGACATCACAGTGTTATGTATAGCAGCAGGACATCACAGTGTTATGTATAGTAGCAGGACATCACAGTGTTATGTATAGCAGCAGGACATCACAGTGTTATGTATAGCAGCAGGACATCACAGTGTTATGTATAGCAGCAGGACATCACAGTGTTATTTATAGCAGCAGGACATCACAGTGTTATGTATAGCAGCAGGACATCACAGTGTTATGTATAGCAGCAGGACATCACAGTGTTATATAAAGCAGCAGGACATCACAGTGTTATGTATAGCAGCAGGAAGCACAGTGTTATGTATAGCAGCAGGATGCACAGTGTTATGTATAGCAGCAGGACATGACAGTGTTATGTTTAGCAGCAGGACATGACAGTGTTATGTATAGCAACTGGACATAACAGTGTTATGTATAGCAGCAGGACATCACAGTGTTATGTAAAGCAGCAGGAAATAGCAGTGTTATATATAGCAGCAGGACATAACAGTGTTATGTATAGCAGCAGGACATCAGTGTTATGTATAGCAGCAGGACATCACTGTGTTACGTATAGCAGCAGGACATCACAGTGTTATGTATAGCAGCAGAACATAACAGTGTTATGTATAGCAGCAGGACATAACAGTGTTATGTATAGCAGCAGGACATCACAGTGTTATATAAAGCAGCAGGACATGACAGTGTTATTTAAAGCAGCAGGACATAACAGTGTTATGTATAGCAGCAGGACATCAGTGTTATGTATAGCAGCAGGACATCACTGTGTTACGTATAGCAGCAGGACATCACAGTGTTATGTATAGCAGCAGGACATAACTGTTATGTCTAAAACAGGACATCACAGTGTTATACAAAGCAGCAGGACATCACAGTGTTATATAAAGCAGCAGGACATCACAGAGTTATATAAAGGAGCAGGACATCACAGTGTTATGTATAGCAGCAGGACATCACAGTGTTATGTATAGTAGCAGGACATCACAGTGTTATGTATAGCAGCAGGACATCACAGTGTTATGTATAGCAGCAGGACATCACAGTGTTATCTATAGCAGCAGGACATCACAGTGTTATGTATAGCAGCAGGACGCACAGTGTTATGTATAGCAGCAGCACATGACAACATTATGTATAGCAGCAGGACATCACAGTGTTATATAAAGCAGCAGGACATCACAGTGTTATGTATAGCAGCAGGAAGCACAGTGTTATGTATAGCAGCAGGACATAACAGTGTTATGTATAGCAGCAGGACATGACAGTGTTATGTTTAGCAGCAGGACATGACAGTGTTATGTATAGCAACTGGACATAACAGTGTTATGTATAGCAGCAGGACATCACAGTGTTATGTAAAGCAGCAGGAAATAGCAGTGTTATATATAGCAGCAGGACATAACAGTGTTATGTATAGCAGCAGGACATCAGTGTTATGTATAGCAGCAGGACATCACTGTGTTACGTATAGCAGCAGGACATAACAGTGTTATGTATAGCAGCAGGACATCACAGTGTTATGTATAGCAGCAGGACATCACAGTGTGATAGCAGCAGGACATGACAGTGTTATATAAAGCAGCAGGACATGACAGTGTTATTTAAAGCAGCAGGACATGACAGTGTTATGTATAGCAGCAGGATGCACAGTGTTATGTATAGCAGCAGGACATGACAGTGTTATATATAGCAGCAGGACATGACAGTGTTGTGTATAGCAGCAGGATGCACAGTGTTATGTATAGCAGCAGGACATCACAGAGTTATATATAACAGCAGGACATCACAGTGTTATGTATAGCATCTGGACATCACAGTGTTATGTATAGCAGCAGGACAGGACATTGTTATATATAGAATCAGAGCATGACAGTGCTATGCATAGAATAAGGACATGATAGTGTTATGCATAGAATCAGGGTAGGATAGTGTTATATATAGAATCAGAGCATGACAGTGTTATATAGAGAGGAAGAGCATAACAGTGTTATATATAGAGGAAGAGCATGATAGTGTCATATAGAGAGGAAGTGTATGACAGTGTTATATATAGAGGAAGAGCATTACTGTTATATAGAGAGGAAGAGCTTGACAGTGTTATATATAGAGGAAGAGCATGATAGTGTCATATAGAGGGGAAGAACATGACAGTGTCATATAGAGAGGAAGAGCATGACAGTGTTATGTAGAGAGGAAGAGCATGACCGTGTCATATAGAGAGGAAAAGCATGACAGTGTTATATAGAGAGGAAGAGCATAACAGTGTAATATAGACAGGAAGAGCATGACAGTGCTATGTAGAGAGGAAGAGCATGATAGTGTTATATAGATAAGAAGAGCATAACTGTTATATAGAGAGGAAGACCTTGACAGTGTTATGTATAGAGGAAGAGCATGATAGTGTCATATAGAGGGGAAGAGCATGACAGTGTCATATAGAGAGGAAGAGCATGACAGTGTCATATAGAGTGGAAGAGCATGACAGTGTAATATAGAGAGGAAGAGCATGACTGCTATATAAAGAGGAAGAGCATGATAGTGCTATGTAAAGAGGAAGAGCATGACAGTGTTATATAGAGAGGAAGAGCATAACAGTGTCATATAGAAAGGAAGAGCATCACAATGTAATATAGAGAGGAAGAGCATGAAAAGTGTTTTATAGAGAGGAAGAGCATGACAGTTGTATGTATAGAGGGAGAGCCAGACAGTGTTATATATAAAAGCAGAGCATGACTGTTATATTTAGCAGCAGCGCATGAAAGTGTTATATAGAGAGGAAGAGCATGAGAGTGTCATATAGAGAGGAAGAGCATCACACTGTATGTAAAGAAGTAGTGCATGAAAGTGTTTTGTATAGAAGCAGAGCATGACAGTGTCATATATGGCAGCTAGATATGATACTACATATGATGTACCTCAAGGACATGAGCTGGAGACATGTGGAGAAGACCTACCTCAAGGACATGAGCTGGAGACTTGTGGAGAAGACGTACCTCAAGGACATGAGCTGGAGAGATGTGGAGAAGACTTACCTCAAGGACATGAGCTGGAGAGATGTGGAGAAGACTTACCTCAAGGACATGAGCTGGAGACTTGTGGAGAAGACGTACCTCAAGGACATGAGCTGGAGACATGTGGAGAAGACTTACCACAAGGACATGAGCTGGAGAGATGTGGAGAAGACGTACCTCAAGGACATGAGCTGGAGAGATGTGGAGAAGACGTACCTCAAGGACATGAGCTGGAGACATGTGGAGAAGACGTACCTCAAGGACATGAGCTGGAGATATGTGGATAGGACTTACCTCAAGGACATGAGCTGGAGAGATGTGGAGAAGACGTACCTCAAGGACATGAGCTGGAGAGATGTGGAGAAGACATACCTCAAGGACATGAGCTGGAGACATGTGGAGAAGAAAGACGTACCTCAAGGACATGAGCTGGAGAGATGTGGAGAAGACTTACCTCAAGGACATGAGCTGGAGAGATGTGGAGAAGACGTACCTCAAGGACATGAGCTGGAGAGATGTGGAGAAGACGTACCTCAAGGACATGAGCTGGAGACATGTGGAGAAGACGTACCTCAAGGACATGAGCTGGAGAGATGTGGAGAAGACTTACCTCAAGGACATGAGCTGGAGAGATGTGGAGAAGACGTACCTCAAGGACATGAGCTGGAGAGATGTGGAGAAGACGTACCTCAAGGACATGAGCTGGAGACATGTGGATAGGACTTACCTCAAGGACATGAGCTGGAGAGATGTGGAGAAGACGTACCTCAAGGACATGAGCTGGAGACATGCGGATAGGACTTACCTCAAGGACATGAGCTGGAGATATGTGGAGAAGACGTACTTCAAAGACATGAGCTGGAGACATGTGGATAGGACTTACCTCAAGGACATGAGCTGGAGACATGTGGAGAAGACGTACCTCAAGGACATGAGCTAGAGAGATGTGGAGAAGACGTACCTCAAGGACATGAGCTGGAGAGATGTGGAGAAGACGTACCTCAAGGACATGAGCTGGAGAGATGTGGAGAAGATGTACCTCAAGGACATGGGCTTGAGACATGTGGAGAAGACGTACTTCAAGGACATGAGCTGGAGACATGTGGAGAAGATGTACCTCAAGGACATGAGCTGTAGACATGTGGAGAAGACTTACCTCAAGGACATGAGCTCAAGAGATGTGGAGAAGACTTACCTTAAGGACATGAGGTGGAGACATGTGGAGAAGACGTACCACAAGGACATGAGCTCAAGAGATGTGGAGAAGACTTACCTTAAGGACATGAGCTGGAGACATGTGGAGAAGACTTTCCTCAAGGACATAAGCTGGAGACATGCGGAGAAGACTTACCTCAAGGACATGAGCTGGAGACATGTGGATAGGACTTACCTCAAGGACATGAGCTGGAGAGATGTGGAGAAGACTTACCTCAAGGACATGAGCCAGAGACATGCGAAGAAGAACGTCGTCTTCACACATGGCAGACAGCAAGGACTCCAGGTCCTTACTGATATTCACCTCCTAGAAGGGAGAGATTACAGGATTTATAACATCCTGAATTCTTGGACTATGTGATAGCTTCCACACAGACCACCACCACTTCCTCCACACACGTGTCACCATGCTCCCAGCAGACACAGGGCGGCAGGGGCTGACAAGGAACTAACTGTGGACCTAATGACAGCAGACACAGGGCGGCAGGGGCTGACAAGGAACTAACTGTGGTCCTAATGACAGCAGACACAGGGCGGCAGGGGCTGACAAGGAACTAACTGTGGTCCTAATGACAGCAGACACAGGGCGGCAGGGGCTGACAAGGAACTAACTGTGGTCCTAATGACAGCAGACACAGGGTGGCAGGGGCTGACAAGGAACTAACTGTGGTCCTAATGACAGCAGACACAGGGCGGCAGTGGCTGACAAGGAACTAACTGTGGACCTAATGACAGCAGACACAGGGCGGCAGGGGCTGACAAGGAACTAACTGTGGTCCTAATGACAGCAGACACAGGGCGGCAGGGGCTGAGAAGGAACTAACTGTGGACCTAATGACAGCAGACACAGGGCGGCAGGGGCTGACAAGGAACTAACTGTGGTCCTAATGACAGCAGACACAGGGTGGCAGGGGCTGACAAGGAACTAACTGTGGTCCTAATGACAGCAGACACAGGGCGGCAGGGGCTGACAAGGAACTAACTGTGGTCCTAATGACAGCAGACACAGGGCGGCAGGGGCTGACAAGGAACTAACTGTGGTCCTAATGACAGCAGACACAGGGCGGCAGGGGCTGACAAGGAACTAACTGTGGTCCTTATGACAGCAGACACAGGGCGGCAGGCGCTGACAAGGAACTAACTGTGGTCCTAATGACAGCAGACACAGGGCGGCAGGGGCTGACAAGGAACTAACTGTGGTCCTAATGACAGCAGACACAGGGCGGCAGGGGCTGAGAAGGAACTAACTGTGGTCCTTATGACAGCAGACACAGGGCGGCAGGGGCTGACAAGGAACTAACTGTGGTCCTAATGACAGCAGACACAGGGCGGCAGGGGCTGACAAGGAACTAACTGTGGACCTAATGACAGCAGACACAGGGCGGCAGGGGCTGACAAGGAACTAACTGTGGTCCTAATGACAGCAGACACAGGGCGGCAGGGGCTGACAAGGAAATAACTGTGGTCCTAATGACAGCAGACACAGGGCGGCAGGGGCTGACAAGGAACTAACTGTGGTCCTAATGACAGCAGAGACAGGGCGGCAGGGGCTGACAAGGAACTAACTGTGGACCTAATGACAGCAGACACAGGGCGGCAGGGGCTGACAAGGAACTAACTGTGGTCCTAATGACAGCAGACACAGGCGGCAGGGGCTGACAAGGAACTAACTGTGGTCCTAATGACAGCAGACACAGGGCGGCAGGGGCTGACAAGGAACTAACTGTGGTCCTAATGACAGCAGACACAGGGCGGCAGGGGCTGAGAAGGAACTAACTGTGGTCCTTATGACAGCAGACACAGGGCGGCAGGGGCTGACAAGGAACTAACTGTGGTCCTAATGACAGCAGACACAGGGCGGCAGGGGCTGACAAGGAACTAACTGTGGTCCTAATGACAGCAGACACAGGGCGGCAGGGGCTGACAAGGAACTAACTGTGGACCTAATGACAGCAGACACAGGGCGGCAGGGGCTGACAAGGAACTAACTGTGGTCCTAATGACAGCAGACACAGGCGGCAGGGGCTGACAAGGAACTAACTGTGGTCCTAATGACAGCAGACACAGGGCGGCAGGGGCTGACAAGGAACTAACTGTGGACCTAATGACAGCAGACACAGGGCGGCAGGGGCTGAGAAGGAACTAACTGTGGTCCTAATGACAGCAGACACAGGGTGGCAGGGGCTGACAAGGAACTAACTGTGGTCCTAATGACAGCAGACACAGGGCGGCAGGGGCTGACAAGGAACTAACTGTGGTCCTAATGACAGCAGACACAGGCAGCAGGGGCTGACAAGGAACTAACTGTGGTCCTAATGACAGCAGACACAGGGTGGCAGGGGCTGAGAAGGAACTAACTGTGGACCTAATGACAGCAGACACAGGGCGGCAGGGGCTGACAAGGAAATAACTGTGGTCCTAATGACAGCAGACACAGGGCGGCAGGGGCTGACAAGGAACTAACTGTGGACCTAATGACAGCAGACACAGGGCGGCAGGGGCTGACAAGGAACTAACTGTGGACCTAATGACAGCAGTCAGCGGATAACTTGCCTCTCACAGCAGCACTCCACAGGAAAAGGTCAACAACAATAATTGTTGACAATAATTGTTAACAGGAGGAAATATAATGCTGTGCAGTCATAACACTACTGGAAGACATTAAAAAGCTTTAACACTGAGATTTACCTTCCCTGATAATCTGTCATACTGACCCTGAATCAAATATATCCAATTTACCCCGTGCAAGTCTATAACAGATTACTACAATGTCAGGAAAATGAAGAGAGTCTCTGGGCATCTTTTTATTACATAATATTTAGATGATTCAACAACTCTTTGTTTGTTAAATATGTTCATTTCTACTTCCGTGACAGAGGTTGGGTTACGTACCTTGTTCTGGCCATTCTGCACTGCCTCCTTGAGCAGTCTCCCCAGGGCAAACACATACACCTGGGACAACACAACACAACGGTCTTCAATAAACATCGGGTTACAGCCGAAATCCATCATTATATCAATCAGCTGTTGTAATCTCAGCCTCCCTTTCCTTACAAAATAACATCTAGCTCTATAGATTAACCCGAAGGATTAATAGATATTGAAATAACGCTGTAAATGGTGAATTATTAATAAATTAAAAATGGCAAGATATACCTGAAACAACCTCAAACAAATATACCCTGTACTATTTACCTGAAACAACCTCAAACATATATACCCTGTACTATTTACCTGAAACAACCTCAAACATATATACCCTGTACTATTTACCTGAAACAACCTCAAACATATATACCCTGTACTATTTACCTGAAACAACCTCAAACATATATACCCTGTACTATTTACCCGAAACTACTTGAGGCATGTATGTCCAGTACTATTTACCTGAAACTACCTCAGAAATATATGCACAGTACTAACTACACACAGGAACTCGTTATTGGTCGGTAAATAAAAATATATACCCCCAATGTAAGTAGAGAAAAGGAGTGTCACTCGCCATCTTGCTGTTTGTTTACATTTGATATGCAAAGTGATTTTTTTATTATACACTTAATGACAAGCGCATTTCTGGCCGTAGATTGATTGATAACACATTTCTACACATGTACAAGTCATCCACATTCAATTAATGTACCCTTATATCGACAGTTTATTTCGCGAGCTGGGAAAATGTTACCCGCTCAGGGTTGGTAACATTTTTACTGACTAATAACGAGTTCCTGTGTAACTACATCATTTGAACACATGCATCACAGGAAATATACCTTTTCTAGTGATGCCTCGGAGACTGAGCTGCTGCCATTGAGTTCAGGTGCCACGTACATGATGTTTTGTCGAACGGGATCTGACTCCGCGAAGGACACTCTTCCAGAAGCCCCAAGCAGCAGTGTGCTTGGGCTGATAGCGAAAACATGGCCTTCCTCAGAGAAGGCCTTGCCTGCAATACACAACGTCACATCACTGAAAACATGGCCTTCCACAGAGAAGGCCTTGCCTGCAATACACAATGCCACTTCACTGGCAACACGGCCTTCCACAAGTGGCCTTGCCTGCAATACACAATGTCACATCACTGAAAACACGGCCTTCAGCAGAGAAGGCCTTGCCTGCAATACACAACGTTACACCACTGATAACACGGCCATAACTCATCAAGTAATGGATGTCACGATACGGTGTCACATGATACAAGACATATCTCAATACAGAAAATAATATCAAAATAAAAAGACTCAGCCTCTTGTTTTAATAATCTCTTGAGTTTGTTTTTATCAAAACAGGAAATAAATAGTTTCCTGTTATACAGTTTGACATTTTATTCAACTCAAGATAGCTGTCAAAACTGTATAGCTCTAACTGTAAGGTTCATGTCTCACAGCACAGTTCATGTCTCACTGAACAGTTCATGTCTCACTGCACAGTTCATCATCATGTCTCACAGCACAGTTCATTTCTCACAGCTCAGTTCATGTCTCAATGAGCACAGTTCATGTCTCACAGCACAGTTCATGTCTTACTGCACAGTTCATGTCTCACTGCACAGTTCATGTCTCACTGCACAGTTCATGTCTCATAGTACAGTTATGTTTCACAGCTCAGTTCATGTCTCACTGCACAGTTCATGTCTCACTGCACAGTCCATGTCTCAATGCACAGTTCATGTCTCATAGTACAGTTATGTTTCACAGCTCAGTTCATGTCTCACTGCACAGTTCATGTCTCACTGAACAGTTCATGTCTCTCAGCACAGTTCATGTCTCACTGAACAGTTCATGTCTCACTGCACAGTTCATGTCTCACTGAACAGTTCATGTCTTACTGCACAGTTCATGTCTCACTGAACAGTTCATGTCTCACTGCACAGTTCATGTCTCATAGTACAGTTATGTTTCACAGCTCAGTTCATGTCTCACAGCACAGTTCATGTCTCACTGCACAGTTCATGTCTCATAGTACAGTTATGTTTCACAGCTCAGTTCATGTCTCACTGAACAGTTCATGTCTCATTGTACAGTTATATTTCACAGCTCAATTCATGTCTTACTGCACAGTTCATGTCTTACTGCACAGTTCATCATCATGTCTCACAGCACAGTTCATGTCTCACTGCACAGTTCATCATCATGTCTCACAGCACAGTTCATGTCTTACTGCACAGTTCATGTCTTACTGCACAGTTCATCATCATGTCTCACAGCACAGTTCATGTCTCACACCTCAGTTCATGTCTCACTGCACAGTTCATGTCTTACTGCACAGTTCATGTCTTACTGCACAGTTCATCATCATGTCTCACTGCACAGTTCATGTCTTACAGCACAGTTCATGTCTCACTGCACAGTTCATGTCTCACAGCACAGTTCATGTCTTACTGCACAGTTCATGTCTTACTGCACAGTTCATCATCATGTCTCACAGCACAGTTCATGTCTCACTGCACAGTTCATGTCTCACTGCACAGTTCAGTATCATGTCTCACTCACAGCACAGTTGATGTCTTACTGCACAGTTCATGTCTTACTGCACAGTTCATCATCATGTCTCACAGCACAGTTCATGTCTCACTGCACAGTTCATGTCTCACAGCACAGTTCATGTCTCACAGCACAGTTCATGTCTCACTGCACAGTTCATCATCATGTCTCACAGCACAGTTCATGTCTTACTGCACAGTTCATGTCTCACTGCACAGTTCATGTCTCTCAGCACAGTTCATGTCTCACAGCACAGTTCATGCCTCACAGCACAGTTCATGTCTCACTGCACAGTTCATGTCTCACAGCACAGTACATGTCTTACTGCACAGTTCATCATCATGTCTCACTGCACAGTTCATGTCTCACAGCACAGTTCATGTCTTACAGCACAGTTCATTTCTCATTGCACAGTTCATGTCTCATAGTACAGTTATGTTTCACAGCTCAGTTCATGTCTCACTGCACAGTTCATGTCTCACTGCACAGTTCATGTCTCACTGAACAGTTCATGCCTCACAGCACAGTTCATGTCTTACTGCACAGTTCATCATCATGTCTCACAGCACAGTTCATGTCTCACTGCACAGTTCATCATCATGTCTCACAGCACAGTTCATGTCTCACTGCACAGTTCATGTCTCACTGAACAGTTCATGTCTCACTGCACAGTTCATGTCTTACTGCACAGTTCATCATCATGTCTCACAGCACAGTTCATGTCTTACTGCACAGTTCATCATCATGTCTCACAGCACAGTTCATGTCTCACTGCACAGTTCATCATCATGTCTCACAGCACAGTTCATGTCTTACTGCACAGTTCATGTCTTACTGCACAGTTCATCATCATGTCTCACAGCACAGTTCATGTCTCACACCTCAGTTCATGTCTCACTGCACAGTTCATGTCTTACTGCACAGTTCATGTCTTACTGCACAGTTCATCATCATGTCTCACTGCACAGTTCATGTCTTACAGCACAGTTCATGTCTCACTGCACAGTTCATGTCTCACAGCACAGTTCATGTCTTACTGCACAGTTCATGTCTTACTGCACAGTTCATCATCATGTCTCACAGCACAGTTCATGTCTCACTGCACAGTTCATGTCTCACTGCACAGTTCAGTATCATGTCTCACTCACAGCACAGTTGATGTCTTACTGCACAGTTCATGTCTTACTGCACAGTTCATCATCATGTCTCACAGCACAGTTCATGTCTCACTGCACAGTTCATGTCTCACAGCACAGTTCATGTCTCACAGCACAGTTCATGTCTCACTGCACAGTTCATCATCATGTCTCACAGCACAGTTCATGTCTTACTGCACAGTTCATGTCTCACTGCACAGTTCATGTCTCTCAGCACAGTTCATGTCTCACAGCACAGTTCATGCCTCACAGCACAGTTCATGTCTCACTGCACAGTTCATGTCTCACAGCACAGTACATGTCTTACTGCACAGTTCATCATCATGTCTCACTGCACAGTTCATGTCTCACAGCACAGTTCATGTCTTACAGCACAGTTCATTTCTCATTGCACAGTTCATGTCTCATAGTACAGTTATGTTTCACAGCTCAGTTCATGTCTCACTGCACAGTTCATGTCTCACTGCACAGTTCATGTCTCACTGAACAGTTCATGCCTCACAGCACAGTTCATGTCTTACTGCACAGTTCATCATCATGTCTCACAGCACAGTTCATGTCTCACTGCACAGTTCATCATCATGTCTCACAGCACAGTTCATGTCTCACTGCACAGTTCATGTCTCACTGAACAGTTCATGTCTCACTGCACAGTTCATGTCTTACTGCACAGTTCATCATCATGTCTCACAACACAGTTCATGTCTCACTGCACAGTTCATCATCATGTCTAACAGCACATTTCAAGTCTCACAGCACAGTTCATGTCTTACAGCACAGTTCATGTCTCAATGAGCACAATGAACTCAAAATGTTAGCAAACAAGAAAACCTGAGTTCTGTAAACTGTTTTCACACTTTCAAGGGTGGTCGGATAGCCTAGTGTTTAAAGGTTCGCTCGTCACGCCCAAGCCCCGGGTTCGATTTCCGACATGGGTACAATGTGTGAAGCCCATCTCTGGTGTCCCTCGCCTTGATATATTTGCTGGAACATTGCTAAAAGCAGCGTAAAACAATACTGGGTAGAATAGCTCTTCAGCAACCCATGCTTGCCGTAAAAGGTGACTAATGGGATTGGGTGGTCAGACTCGCTGACTTAGTTGATGGATGTCATCAATCCCAATTGCGTGGATTGATGCTTATGATATCAATCACTGGATTGTCTGGTCCAGACTCGATTATTTACAGACCGCCATCATATAACAGAATATTGCCGAATGCGGCATTAAATAACAAACAAACAAACTCAATGACAGGCATAAAGTACTGCAGCTGAGTGCAGCTGTACCTACCTCTGATGAAGAGGTCTTGCAGGGCCTCGCCGCTCTGACAGAGGACTCCCCAGACCTCTGCTTCCTGGAGCGGCGCCCCACGGATCTCCAGTGCCTCGGACAGGCTCACTGGAATGTCCACGCTCGGCATTCTCAACAGACAACCTTCCTGAAGAAGACAAACACAACTGAATATCTCTTAGATAAGCATTCAAACTTTCATTCATGCAACTTTGTTATATGGCAGTGTATTTTATTGTTGAACAATGATTGCAACTGTGTTGCATTGTTTCTGCTGAGATTCAGTAGATGGTCATTGCATTGTATTTGGGCAGTGATAAGTCGTCAGGAATGTGTGTACTAGTTAATCTAAGCAGATATCAGGAAGTTGCAATATATTTAGATGCTAGTGTGGTGTTTGTCTTCCGGTCTGTATACCGCAGACGGTGACAGTATGTTATAGAGACATATGGACATTTCTGTATGTTCTCTAGTAGGAGAGAAATACTTAAACTACCCTATATAGTGCAATATCATACTCAAATACTTAAACTACCCTATATAGTGCAATATCATACTCAAATACTTATACTACCCTATATAGTGCAATATCATACTCAAATACTTATACTACCCTATATAGTGCAATATCATACTCAAATACTTATACTACCCTATATAGTGCAATATCATACTCAAATACTTATACTACCCTATATAGTGCAATATCATACTCAAATACTTATACTACCCTATATAGTGCAATATCATACTCAAATACTTATACTACCCTATATAGTGCAATATCATACTCAAATACTTATACTACCCTATATAGTGCAATATCATACTCAAATACTTATACTACCCTATATAGTGCAATATCATACTCAAATACTTATACTACCCTATATAGTGCAATATCATACTCAAATACTTATTGTTGTGTATGTATTATGTTATTTGTCCGACCCGCACATTGGAGGAACATCAAATCTTCAATACATAACAAAACCGTAGTTGGCTCAATCACTGTTTAATGTAGAACTGGCGCTGCCTCACACAGCTGCCTAGGTTACAACAACATAATGACGTCACACCTAAAGTGACGTCACTGCACGTGCGCATTGGCGCACTTACAATGTAAACATACCTAACATGCACAACATTTCTCCCCCTTAAAAGAAATTACTTTCTACTTCTCTAACCAATACATTTACAATATTCAGAACACAGGACTAAAGTTAAAATTTAACAATGTTACAACTTTCAACCACAAATGATAAACTCATATATATATGATATCTGCTACACATTGCTGAATACTTTATTCAATGACTTAATTGTCAAAACTGTCAGTTTCCACATTGTGTTCTCACAGGGTTAGTCTATCGGGAGATTTTCTCACTCTTTCTGAACGTCTCACGGTTTGTTTTGCTGGTACATTTGCAATTGTCACCTCACTGTCTTCACACTGGTGTTCATCACATTGCTGTGATGCACTAGGTATTACGATAGGGTCGCCTTTGTTGACCCTGATACTTTCTACAGTCCCTGCACTACAGTCACTTTGAACAATCATGTTCTCGTTACCATGGTTACTAGTTGCATCTCTACACCTTAATTGATCAATATGACGCTTGACAGTTCTATTGCCAATGTCAACATCATAATGTCTTTCACCACATTTTGTCATCACCTTGCCAGCAGTCCATTTGTCTTCTTTGTTGTACTCACGCACCCACACCTTATCATTGTCATTTAGCTGTCTTGTGTCGCCAGGTTGACACAATGAAGAAGACTGTTTTGTAGCAACAACATCAGCATGATTAGGCTTGATTAAGTCAAGTCTACATCTTAGTTCTCTTCCAAGAAAAAGTTTTGCTGGAGTTTCTTGAGTTGTGCAATGGGGACTAGAACGATAGGCTAGCAGAAACCTATCAATCTTCTTCTGTAATGTTGCATCATCCCCTCTAGTTGATTTCATAGCTTGTTTGAAGGATTGAACAGCTCTCTCAGCAAGTCCGTTTGTAGCAGGATGATATGGAGCAGATAAGATGTGTTTTACACCATTACTTCTCAAGAATGTTTCAAACTCATTTGACACAAATTGTGGACCATTATCTGTAACAACTTGCAGTGGTAATCCATATTTCCCGAACAAACCTCTCATCACTTTCACTGTCACATCAGCAGTAGTTGAATTCATAACAATCACCTCTAACCATTTGGAATGAGAATCTACAACAATGAGGTACATGTGACCCATGAAAGGACCAGCAAAGTCCAAATGAATGCGACACCATGGTTTTGATGGCCATGACCAATGATGAACAGGAGCTTTTGTTGGATCATTTTGAAGATTCTGGCATGTAATACACATTCTTGCAGTACTTTCAATATCAGCATCTACTCCAGGCCACCACACATAACTTCTAGCAACTGATTTCATTTTCACCATTCCAAAATGACCACCATGTAACTCATTTAGAACACCGTTTCTGAGTTTAGAAGGAATCACTACTCTCATTCCCCATACAATACATCCTAATTGAATAGAAAGCTCATATCTTCTTGAGTGAAATGGTTTCATTATTTTGTTCTCACTGTGATCTTTATCCCAACCGTTCATCACTGCCATGTACACTTGTGAAAGAACAGGATCTCGCCTTGTCTCATTTCTCACATCACCTGCTGTAAAAGGCAGATGTTCAAACTGACTTGCATAGAACAAATCTACATCATCACTCACACATTTTGTTGTATCAGGTAGAGGTAAACGAGACAACACATCAGCATTTGCATTGGCAGAGGAAGATTTGTACTGAATTTTGTAATCATATGCACTGAGAATCAATGCCCATCTCTGTAGACGAGCAGCAACTAATGATGGTACTGACCGTCCCTCACCAAACAGGGCAGTGAGAGGTTGATGATCTGTCACGAGTGTGAAATGCCTACCATACACATACTGATGAAATCTTTTCACACCAAATATAATTGCTAGGGCTTCTCTGTCAATTTGTGAATATCCCTTTTCAGCCTTGTTCAGTGTTCTTGAAGCAAATGCAATCGGTCGTTCAGTACCATCACTCATCTCATGAGACAACACAGCACCCACGCCATAGGAGGATGCATCACATGCCAATGTTATTGGCAACAATGGATCATAATGACACAACACATCGGAACTTGCAATTTTTGCTTTAGACATTTTGAAAGATTTCTCACATTCAGTTGACCATAGCCATTTCTTGTCTTTCTGCAACAGTTCGTTTAACGGGTGAACGATTGTAGAAAGGTTCTGGATGAATCTGCCATAGTAGTTGACTCCACCGAGAAAGGAACGTAGTTGTGTCACATTTTCAGGTCTTGGAGCACTGATGATAGCTTTCACCTTATCTTCTGAAGTATGAAGTCCTTCTTTGTCAATAACATGACCGAGATATTTGACTGAGTCTACAAAGAATTTACACTTACTTTGTTTTACTCTCAAGCCGAATTGTTGTAATCTTGACAAAACTGCATCCAAGTTCTGTAAGTGTTCTTCATCGTTTGAACCGGTCACTAGAATATCATCTTGATGACATAATACTTTCTGCAAACCTTGAAGAATTTGGTCCATAGTAGCTTGAAAAATTGCGGGAGCTGAAGCAATGCCGAAAGCAAGTCTTGTGTACCTGTAGAGTCCTTTTGGAGTATTGATGGTGAGTAGTTTCTGTGAGTCTTAATCCACCTCCATTTGTTGATAAGCATGAGCAAGATCAATCTTTGAGAATTTCTGACCTCCGGCAAGTTGAGCAAACATGTCTTCAATCTTGTTTTGTGGATACTGGTTCACATTTAAAGCTGGGTTTACAGTAGATTTGAAATCGCCGCATATTCTGACAGATTTGTCAGGTTTGACCACTGGAACTATTGGTGTAGCCCACTCAGAATGTTCTACTTTGATAATCACGGCATTTTTCTCCATTCTTGAAATTTCTTCATTCACTCTATCATGAAGTGCATAAGGAACAGGCCTAGCTTTCATGTATTTAGGAGACATGCCATCTTTCACTTCTAAATGGGCTTTGATTCCATTAATTGTACCCGGTCCATCAGAAAATACATCACAGTATTTCACAAACATTTCACTGAGTTGATCTTCACTTGACATTTTGTGACACATGTTGACATTATTTCCTAATGATTTCCAGTCAATATTTACGTATGGTAACCACGCCCTCCCCAGTAACGGAGGACCTTTTCCCTGCACGACATGTAGTGGTAACTGGTTTACTCTTTCACCATCACGAACGTCAACATGTATGATACCAAGATTTGTGACAAGCTCACCTGTGTATGTTCTCATTGGGATTGGCGATTCTTGTAAGCTGCATTCTGAAAAGTTCTTTCTGTAAACGCCTTCAGTAATGATAGAACTTCTTGAGCCAGTATCTAACTCCATCTTTAGATCATGTCCATTTACATTCACTGTCACCCATATGACATCTGCAGCACCGTGAATAGCGAGCAAATGATTTAGACAGTCACCTAAATCATCTAGAATGTCATCTTCATATTCATGGGTTGAACAATGTTCTTCATTGATAGCATTTACACGAAAAGTTTGACGCCTACCGTTTCTGTTTACATTGCTGGAGCTAGCACTTCCTGGTTGACGAAACCCGGATGTTGAACTTTGACCTGACCTTTGACTCCATTTCTTCGCTTTGCATACCTCCTGAATATGGCCTTTCTTTTGACAGAATGAGCAAACTGTATCTTTGTAATTACAAGTATCAGCTAAATGCGAAGGCTTTCCACATCTATAACAATAATGTTCATACCTTGCATTAGATCTTCTGTTGTTGAAAGAAAACACCTCTGACTGTGATTGTTTCTTCGGTAATCCGTTGCGGCACAATTCTTCTGAATCTTTCGCAGCTAATTCCAATGAATTTGCAATTGAAACTGCACGTTCTAGTGTCAATTCTAATTCTGCAAGCAATTTTCTTTGAACATTTACACTTTTCAGTCCAAGAACTAACTGATCTCTTAAACATTCATTCAGTGTAGCGCCGAAGTCACAAAATCTAGCCAGTCCTTTCAAAACAACAACATATTGTGAAACAGTTTCGTTTTCGGTCTGCATTCTCTTGTGAAATCTGTATCTTTCAGCAATAACACTTGGTCTAGGCATGTAATGATCACGTAAAACAGTGAATAATTGTTCCAAAGTACGTGTACGAGGCAAATCAGGAGAAACCAACGATTTGAGAACATTGTAAGTTTTTGCACCAATCATGGAAAGAAACCCGGAAACTCTTCGTTCATTTGGAATGTCATTAGCATCGAAATATAAACTCACTCTTTCAGAATATGACATCCAATCTTGTAAACTTTCATCGAACTGTCCAACATCTCCAATGACGCCTGCCATTATGGAAAAGCACTGAATGTAATCACGTATAGAAAGTTTTATCCTCGTCGCCACTGTTGTGTATGTATTATGTTATTTGTCCGACCCGCACATTGGAGGAACATCAAATCTTCAATACATAACAAAACCGTAGTTGGCTCAATCACTGTTTAATGTAGAACTGGCGTTGCCTCACACAGCTGCCTAGGTTACAACAACATAATGACGTCACACCTAAAGTGACGTCACTGCACGTGTGCATTGGCGCACTTACAATGTAATCATACCTAACATGCACAACACTTATACTACCCTATATAGTGCAATATCATACTCAAATACTTAAACTACCCTATATAGTGCAATATCATACTCAAATACTTATACTACCCTATATAGTGCAATATCATACTCAAATACTTATACTACCCTATATAGTGCAATATCATACTCAAATACTTATACTACACTATATAGTGCAATTTCATACTCAAATACTTATACTACCCTATATAGTGCAATATCATACTCAAATACTTATACTACCCTATATAGTGCAATATCATACTCAAATACTTATACTACCCTATATAGTGCAATATCATACTCAAATACTTATACTACCCTATATAGTGCAATATCATACTCAAATACTTATACTACCCTATATAGTGCAATAGCATACTCAAATACTTATACTACCCTATATAGTGCAATATCATACTCAAATACTTATACTACCCTATATAGTGCAATATCATACTCAAATACTTATACTACCCTATATAGTGACATATATAACTCAAATACTTAAACAACCCTATATAGTGCAATATCATACTCAAATACTTATACTACCCTATATAGTGCAATATATAACTCAAATACTTATACTACCCTATATAGTGCAATATATAACTCAAATACTTATACTACCCTATATAGTGCAATATATAACCCAAATACTTATACTACCCTATATAGTGCAAATATATAACTCAATTACTTATACTACCCTAAAGTGCAATATATAAATCGCAAATATATCTTATCATCCACATTTTCCACAACAATATCCGGAAAGACAAAAAGTCCAGTACAGGCTCATAAACTTAAAAGTGAAAAGCTTGACCGCCCACAACATAATGATTTATTGAGGCGTCGAAACAAGACCATCTACAAATATGCTAACTGCTGACTGCCTTCTGGCTCAGATCCTTCTGCTAATTCTGCCCTACATAACTCCACAGCCAGAGGCATGGAGTGTCTCCATTTAGGTAGTGCTACTAACTCACTGTCACATGTGACGACATAATAACCTTCAGTTGGCTGCTAGGGTTTCTTGTTTAAATATCACAATAACTTTCTTTCCACCCACAATTCAATCAGGTGATAAACTTTCTGTGTTCTGTTTTCAGAGGTACATTTGCTATGCGTCATATATATAACGGGCAGGGCCACCTGACTACTGGGTGGGTCTACAGGGTGGGTCTAATGGGTGGGTCTATTTGGCGGGTCAACTGGGCATGTCTACAGGGTGGGTCTACTGAGTTGATCTACTGGGTAGGTCTACTGGGTGGGTCTATTGGGTAGGTCTACTGGTTAGATTTACTGGCTTGGTCTACTTGATTGGTCTACTTGAGGGGTCTACTTGACAAGTCTACTGGGTGGGTCTACTTGATGGGTCTTCTGAGTCAGTCTACTTGACAGGTCTACTTGGTCGGTCTACTGGGCTGGTTTACTGGGTAGGTCTACTTGATGGGTCTACTGAGTGGATCTACTTGACAGGCCTACTGGGTGGGTCTACTGGGTGGGTCTACAGGGCTGATCTTCTAGGTGGGTCTAATTAGTGGGCCTAATTAGTGGGTCTACTGGTGGGTCTACTGGGTGGGTCTACAGGGCTGATCTTCTAGGTGGGCCTAATTAGTGGGTCTACTGGGTGGGTCTACTTGTTGGGTAACAGGGCGGGTCTACTGGGTGGGTCTAAAAAACACTGACTGCTGCGAACTCTACATGCAACTGTCAGCTGACAGAAGGTATGTGTGTCACTAATTTTGTACAATGTCACTCAAAACTGGTGCTCTCTGTAGGGTTTGAATCAAAACATGATAATGTGCTTATTAAAAAGAAAATCACTCAACGTTCACAGGCTTTTTTCTTTTTGTTTCCAACATTGACGTAAATGGCTGAAAAATACTTAATAGTAGCCTCAAGTTAACAATATCCAATCCAGCAGCGGATGCATCATTCAAATGCTGTATATTTAACAACCATAATAAGCCAAACTAATAACATATTTAAATGTCTCCAAGCATATAAGAGAAGGTTGTCTTACATATATGTTTGGTTGTTTTGACATAACGTGAACGTAGCAGGTTTGTTAATCAGACTTGATATAACACATGTAGAAATGTGATCTAGTCAATCTTCCTGCAATGTTGCCTACTGCTGACTAACGGAAGCCTGCATTCAGACAGGTACCTAGGGTGCAGCAACTATGCCTGGTTAAAAAGATTGATAATCGTAACTATCGTCGATGGGAAGAAATATTAACCATCGACATGAAATTTCTGTCCTCGATAATAACTTATATCAACATTGTGATGAAATAAAGTTTACATTTACCTAAACAGACTTGTTATTGTCAATAATGTCAATTGTTGAAGACGGAAAGCAACTGTTTTTGTGAAATGTCCACAAAGTAATCTATGCATAAGTGTGTCACTGGAGTGAAATATGTTGATTTCTTTCAGGACTTTCTTGCATAATAGTTTATACTTATTTCTTCGACTTTTATCGATAATTACTTGATATTTAGTTAGCAATGATCGATCTCTATAACCTATATCGATAGCCAGAACTAGCAGCAATCCCCTGCCATCTCCTGTATCCTGCATGGCTCTGGGCTTGTGAGAGCTCCTATGTCAAAGACATGTAACTTGTACAACAATGTTCCTATGTGTAGCCATGTGTAACTCCATCGAGGACTTACTACCTAATATCAACACAAGCCATATATTCCCACTGGGTAATAACCCAATTATCTACCAGCCTCAATCTGGTGTATGTATGTAGGTAGTAATGCAGGCAGTAGTGACGAAAATAGCCCTTGCAACCTGATTCCCCATCCTCAACCCTGCTGGCACTGGTCCAGCTCAGCTGAAGCATCAGTGAGGATCCCAGCTTCAGACAACTAGTGCACAGTCTATCTACCTGATACAGACATGGGGAATACATGGGCAGTGAGTTCAGTAGGATAAATCTGCCATATTCTGTGGGTTATGTGCTTGATAAGACTTATAGTTTTAGACATATATTTGTGATAATGCATTTATTAATTTGCAACATCTGTTCATCTGCTTTGTATTAAGCTATTAATCCTTGATGCATCATGCATGGTCCAGTCAATCAACGTTTCTGGTTTTACTTCAAGTCCTATCATCTTGTTGAGGAGTGGACAATTAAACCATCCATTTGAAAACATGATGCAAAGACGAAATAGTTAGTTTCATCTGAAGTCTTTCCCTAAGAACAGGTTGACTAAAACGACATGTGACCGCCATCACATGTCAACTAAAAAACAAAACACAAGTACGTCTACCATGACCCCGCCCACTCCCAACAACATGGCTCATTGGCAGTCGCGGTGGTTACCTCCCTTTAAATGACTTTTGACACGAATAACGGTAATAACACGAGACTTTTACAGGTTCTGTAAGCTTGCTCGGAATGTCAGTCTTGCGTGGCTCGATTATTTGGCTTTAGCTACATCAGCTGCTTAAATGTACAATATACTTTACACATATGCTAGCTGTGAGTACTCACCCACTTATTATTCTTGTTTTGTCTTCGTTTCGAAAGTACTCCCGTTAGTTTTCAGTGGGTAAGAAGTGGCACTGGTTGGCCGCCATAGCACTGGTGTTCTTGGTCCTAGCCACCCTACAACTAGTTTTATTCAAAATCGGACTTCTATTTATTTATTTCTTGAACGATACACCCAGCGATAAAAAACCCGGAATCCTATGCAAAGTTGTTTTTAAATATAACATATTTTGTTTTGCGAGGTGGGAGAAATTCGCAATCACAAAGTGTATACGATGTAGAATCCGTTTCGTGAATATGACAGACTGTTCGTCTGGACCCGACAGCACCTAGGCACATATACACCAATGTATGGTTTGTTCGTGTCTAATGTGATTGCTCTTAAACATTTTCGCCTCAGTCTATATTTTGAAGGAGAACTTACTTACTCAATCACTAGCTGGAAGTTTCAGATTTCATTACCCACAAAATATCATTAAACTGAACTAAAAATGTAGAATCTTACAGCCTCTCTCACTAGAGATACGTTTCAGATCTCAAAGATAATTACAAACAATCACCAAAGATAATCAAATTGAACTGTGAAGTGCACCATTTTAAAGGTACATTTTGAGATATATGTGGAGTAACACAATGAAGAGACTCGGGGGGGGGGGGGGGGGGGGGGTGTGGATTGCTAGATCTACATCAGTCATTAAACTAATAGCATCTATTTTAAGAAGGTTATGCATCAATATAATGAAAACTATTTTATTTTTAACGGCGATTCCAATTTGACTGAACTCACATTTTATTAACACAGTAGACACCTGAACTGGCATACATATATAGTTAGTTGTCAAGTCAGTAGTATACAACCCCGCCTGTAGCAGACGCGCCTGGACTGCGATGAATCACGGCGTGTGCTCGCCAGCCGCTAAATAAAGACTCTTTGTTTTAACGGGCGTTATTATTTCAGTTTATTGTAACAGCATAACGTGTCTGTTTCATTATTGAGACATTACGAGGTTTATTTCTGGCCGATATTCCGTCTCCATACAAATGATAGCGGCTGTATAAGTGTTATACACGCTACTCCCAATTCACACAGATTAACATAGAACTTGGGGCTGTCTAACAAGCACCCTGTTTATGTTCTCGAGACGCCGTTGTTCTGACTGGTCCCGTCATTAACCTACTGATCACACAAGAACAACGCTGAACTGTCGATCTTTCCTCAATGTCTTGGGTTTCCGTATGGTTTGCTCCACCAGGTGTTAGGGGTTTCCATCGAGAGTAATATAGGCGTGTTTAAGATGCTGAATTTCTTTGCTGAGACGGTCTGAATTGCAGATGACGGAACATCTCATCACCACATTTCCTGGCCAAAAACCAAGACTCTGCATACCAACATCTGTCATTGGAAAAAGATAAAACTTCAAGAAAGCAATGGGATCGAAGAAAGAAGCCAGCCATTAACAGAGATCAAGATATCTACCTACCTAGTGTGTACTCTACTGTGCTATAATCACATCATCAACCACAATGGACATCTGGATTGCCTCTTGATCTCATTGGCTGTCTATTGGTTATTAGTTAAAGCAAGAAATTGATATATACCTCTTGATTGTTTGTTTAAGGCATTTGACAACACGATTCTTCAAAGAATGCTATATAGTTGCGAAGTGTGGGGAAATGCCAAAATCAATCCTTTAGAAATGGTTCATAAGAAGTTTATGAGGAAACAGGACGCTTTCCTTTGGATAGACGGATAAAGAAACGAGTTCTATCATATTGGTGTAAAATATTAACTTCCGAAAACCAAAATGAGTGATCTGTTATTGTATTTCAATCTTTGTTCCCCAAAATTATAAACAACCAGTATAAACAACACTGGATTGCTTTTTTAAAAGATACTCTTCATGAAGGTGGCTCATCATATATTGGGACTAACCAAGTTGTACCAATACAAAATAGGTGAAAAGACCACTTTTTACAAAGTTGGCATCATGATTAATCCTTATCTTCACAAGGAAAGGTATATACTTGTATTAAACCCGACTTTCACTTTGAAATTTATACATTGTTACCACGTAAAATATCCCAAGTTATTTTAGAATTTCGTACAAGTAATACAATTTTGCCCGTAGAAACGGGTCGTTGGCAGAATGTTCCTTTCACTGACAGACTCTTCCCGATGTGTGACTCGGGTACAGTGGGAGATAAATATCACTATATGTTCGAGTGCAGTTGTTTAAGACTTGAAAGAAACGTGTCTTTACCAAAATACACACTTCAAAAAAAGAAACGCACAGGTAGATTTTTAGTAAATTTATTGTACTTAATAAAGTCGATATATTTAACTTATTATCATAGTTACAAAGATGAAATTTTGGAGCTTGATAGTCACATGTTGTCGTATAAAAGCATTGAAAACTGTTCACTGTCGTGTCACATAAGGCCACAAGGTTGCGCTGATCTCAGTATCTCGTGTGACGGCCCCGGGCAGCAACACGGCTCTGCATCTCCTCGGCGCTGACTGGATAAGTGTACGAATTCTGTCTTGGGAATTCTGCGCCTTTCTGCTTGTTACGCGTTGACCAGGTGTGGGATTGTCTGCGGCGTGTTTCGACGTTGACGTACACGTCGATCGAGTTTATCCCAGAGGTGTTCGATTGGGTTGAGATCTGGAGATCTCGACGGACAGGGCAAGTCGTTGATATTGGCATTATGAAGGTAGTCTACCGCAACACGAGCTGTGTGTCATGGATCGTTGTCCTGTTGAAACAGCTCCCTCTGACGGTCAATGATTGGAAGAAGGTGAGGCCGAAGAATTTGATTCATGGACCGATTTGCTGTCAAATGTCCCTGAACCACAACGAAGTCAGATCTCCTGGTGTAGGATATGGTGCCCCACACCATGACACTAATGCCACCGAAATTGTGGAATTCACGTACAAAATGTGGGGCACAACGCTCATTTCGACGACGATAAACACGTTGTCTTCCATCTCGCCGGTGAAGAAGAAATCGTGATTCTTCGCTAAACCACACTCGTCTCCAGTTTCTCAAATTCCAAGGGTGTAAGGTATGGTACCATAGCAAGCGTCGCTGTCGATGAACCTGTTGCAAAACAGGGACGATAACTGGTCTTCTGTGTCCGATTCCAGCCTCGCGAAAATGGTTCCTGAAAATCTGGTCCGATATCCTCCTCAAACCAGGGATGCGTCTTGCAGTCTCGTAGGTGGAACAGTCGAATGTAGCGATTCTGTGCAGGGATGGTAACTCTTGGTCGGCCGGTTCTCGGACGGTCTGCAGTGGAATTGAGCTGTGTGTATCTGTCCCAAAGGCGACAAATGGTGCTGTGGTAGACGTTGAAGTGGCGTGCAACAGAAGACTGCGATTCCCCTCCTTGGATACGTCCTATGGCGATGTTCCGATCGGCAGCGCTGAGTCTCGGCATTGTCAACGTGCATGTTGACGGGGAATTAGCTCTTGGGGGAATAAAGGACAAAATCGACATCACTGTCCCGGAACGCTTTATGCACAACATGTAAACAATAAACAACAGTAGTATAGTCTAAGTCCGCAGAAGGTAGTTTTGGTTGATCCGGTTGATCCAGGCGGATGCGAAGGTGATTGGTTGATCCAAGTCACGTGATCGGATAGGATGACTCATGCATCAACAGCGCGTTACAGGTGAGGGGGAATGAAAGGTGTGTGTTTATAAGACAGAAAAGAATTCATAAGAAAACAAAAGTAAAAGGTTATGAATAGAGCTATGTGTATAGCGTGCTGCCTTGAATAGACACACCGTACCCGTCAGCCCAGTTTGAATTAAGCGCGCTTAACAACTGACGTGGCCTCGTCGTTTAACCCGCGCTCGCTAGAGCGTGCGACCTGGTTTTGATGAATGCAGGGTGTGTGTTGAAAGTACAAGTACCACAATGGAGACGGGTTAAGTCAACACGATATACGTCGGGTAATGTAGGAAAAAAAACTGTACGTCTAGCTGGAACAGATCCATCTTATACGGTCTACACGTTGTACACCACGAACGTTAGACAACCTATATAGAAAAAAATACATAGAGACAAAATAGATAAGACTACGCAATCAGTAAGCTAGCAGTGTCGTTTAATTACATTTAGCGCGCAAGAACGAGGTAGTCACGTCACCCTGCATTGACTATAACGCTGAAGGCAGCCGGATTTCGAATCACCCCGCGCTGCGTACTATTGTGAACCATTTGTATAGAGGGCGTTCACTTATTCAGCCCTATCCCGACTAGCGTAGTTCATGTTTCAACGCTAGCGTTTCCATTTAACGCGATGACAAATAAACCGTACGGTTTGAGTTTTAACCGTGTATCATGATGTGCACAGTTTTACTTCAGAACGTGCTATTTTGACAATTGATAGTTAGAACCATGTCTATGTTCAATAGAAAACTGATGAGTACATGTAGCAGTGTGACGGCACGAAGCTAGGTTTGTTGGGAAAGTGATGGAAGCCATCTATAGGACATTTTCATGTTTACAATACTCACCCTTAATTCGAAGAGAGAACAGAGTTTATCATGGAAAATTGTTTGACGAGGAAAATGTTTTATTGGAAATATATGTCGAAGTAGGTTTATTCATAGCTAATGTATAGCAGAGAGACTAAGCGACCGACCGCCCATAACAATGTCAACATACCCCGGCCTTACAATTAATGTCAACATACCAGCCTCGCCTGAAGCTTCCCATTCATAAATGGTGTGATCAGTGTCCCGTATTTATGATATGTCAGGGAAGATGTGTTGTACATTTGTTATTTTAAAAGGGAGTTATTTCAGAGAGGATATATATGGGTATTCCCCCTCATTAAACCTTTCTTTCGTTGGTGTCTATTAAACGTATCCGGTATTTAATACATTTGAATGATGTAGGAATGTATGTGCGTGTAGATGTTGTACCAATATCCGACCACGAATGTATGACACCTTTCTATAGATCAATTACGGTTCTAACCACGACACGCAACATGACTATGAGCGTGGTTAGCAGTTCATATTTTTTAAACACATCGTAAATGACAGATTTCTGATGAATGAACTCGCCCGCACACATGTCTATAGGGTTATGTTCGCCCGAACTGTAAACAGT